AGCACCACAGGAGGGTGAGATTGCCGAAGCAAGCGGTCCAGCTCCGCCAAACGTAGAGGCCATTAGCTACCCACTTAGCTCTCCAACCGATTCACTCCCTTCCTCCTCTCCAATCTCCACACATAACTCTGACATACTTGCAGAGGGTACATCATGGCTCTGCAAACCGTGCAATATCTCCTTCAACCACCTCGACGACTACCGCAGCCACAAGTGGAGTAACGCATACCACCAAAAGAATGTCGCCGATTATAAGCGTTTGCGTCCCACGTATCAAGAGGAGGAAGATGATGTCGAGCAAGTATCGAGCTGCGACCCAGTAGGACATTACTGCGCCAACTGCGACTTCAGAACCTCAACGTATGGCAACTATACACGCCATTTGAGACGTCAGTGGCATCAGAGAAATGTGACCATGAGGCTACAGCGCAAGGGCGGAGTGACGAAAAAGGTGAAGAGCGCACCCAAGACGAAAGGTGGGCAGCTACAGCAGTATTGCAAGGACTGCGATAGTTGGTGTGTTAGAATTAATTGGGCTCGTCATTTGAAAGGTCCGATGCATGTGGATAACGTCGCGAAGAACCTGCGATTAAGGAGTAATGAGGAAGTGTTTGGAGAGACGGAAAAGGTGGGAGACTGGGTGGAGGTTAACGAGATGAACGAATTCCGCAGTGAGAAGCCCGGCCATTACTGCAAGGACTGCGACCGCTTTTACACCACGCAGAACTGGAGCCGTCATCTGAAGGGCTCGGTACATGCAAGTAACGTTCTGAAGAACAAACATTGCGACAAGAGTATTGTGCTGCCGACTCCTCCGGATTCCATTATAGAAGTAGAAGGGCTAGAGACTCTACCTACAGAGCAGCCAGAGCGCTACTGCGAAGCCTGTGACATATACCCCGGTGTTCGTTGGGCGCGACATGTGGCTTCTCCAAGTCATGTGTTCAACGCCATCCGTTTTCCAAATCTTAGCAGATGTACTACAGTTGACGAAGATACCACGGGCGACGAGGATATCACTGAAGAGGAGAGTGTCACAGAGGAAAGCAGAAGCTCAACAGGGGTAGAAGGATTCTTCTCCTCTTCGGTCATGGAGCTGGTCGAAAAGATGCAAGTGAAAGTACAGGAGAGGGGAGAGTCGCAAGATGAGCACGAGGAGCCTGAACACTACTGCGAAGACTGCAATTGCAGATACTCTGGTATAAAGTGGGAGCGCCACCTGACGTCTGACGAGCATGTTGAGAATGTTGAGAGGAGTATGGTCCGGGATGGCATACACTGCGATGAAGATGAGGATGAGAATGAGGACATGCAAGGTGATGAGATCGTCCAGCATGAAGCAGATGTGCAGATCTCCTCTCATGCCTTGACCTCCTCTCCCGCTTCCTCCTCTCTTCCTCCCACACCGGCAGAACCAGCATGCTCAGAGTGCTATGTCGACGGAGTTCCTCCACCCCAATCTTCTTCCAGACGTCCTTCAGGAAAACAGGACTGGTACTGCGACATGTGCGATGCCAACGTCTCCGTTAGCAGTACGTGGGCGATTGGTGTACATATGGCTGGACACCAACAAGCCTTGTATGAGAAGTGGAAGATTAAGAGTTTGGAATCAAGTAAAAGGTTTCAGGTTGATGTTTAGGTGAGGGGGAAGGATAAGGACGATATCTAGACACGACAGTTGGACAAGGCTGCCATGTAGAGGGTTGAACACGACTGACAGCACATATTGATATGATGGACGTGCTGGTGATAAGACGCAGGCACAACGCTGTTGAGTTACACTGTATTATATTGCAGTAAGAATTGTGTTCCCAAACACTCACTTGGCTTCACTGTATGCAGCTGTATACTGACAGTACGTATGGAATATATGTAAATGATTATATCAGCACAGTACAACTTCTGGAACATCGCACTACCCACGTGATTGAACTAGGAGCTCGCCTTATTCCTGTGTTGCTTCCACAAGTACCAACAGGCTACAGTGATGAACGTGATCGGTACAGTAGTAACCACCCATAACCACCACAGCCCTGTCACCTCGAAAGAAGTCGTACCGGGCGTTGACTGGAAGATTCCAGCACTCAACACACTCTTTTTATTCGTCAGTGGCCGTATAGACATAATTGGTGTGATACTCACAGCGGTGAAAGTTCCAGGTAAGAAAACCATGGTGAGCAGCGCAATCGATGTCATGCTAGTGCTATCTCTCTTCGTCTCGGCAGCAATCTGTATGGTGTTCAGGGTATGCTCTTGCGCGTTCAGATGCAAGATCAAGTTCATAATAACGTCCTTTCGGCCTCTGTAATTCAAAAACCACATGTGCTGTTTCTCCATGCTCGTGACCAGGTAATTGGCCATATCCACCGTCCGTTGCCTCGGTCCTCTTTCGTCTTCGCCCAGCGATGTAAGCTTCGTGGCCATATCACAGATACCCCGTGCTGTATACAAGAAGACTTGCGCATTGGCAAGGTGTGAATCAACCCCTTGTGCCATGATCTGCACATTTTTCAGCCAACTCGCAAGTTCCCTCCTCCCTCGCTGTTCGACACCAGCCAGTTGATCGTCAACTTGGTTGACGAGTTGCCATTGGAACCTTCGGAACTTCGCCACATGCCATTTTGAAGCTTCGAAGTTGAGGTTCAGTATCGTGGTGTGGAGATCCATAGGACTGTGTAGTAAGATGTGGCCGATGTCGTGTCGCTTTTTGTGGCTGATTAGGGTAGAGAGTTGTTTGCGAAGAGCGAGAATTACTTTGTCGTCCGGCTTATGGGAGATCAAGTAGATGAGCAGATCTCTTTGAGCGTCATATCTCGTATAGACGGATAATGGAGCGCCTTGGGCTTGGAGATTCCAGCGCGGATGCTGACAGAAAAAGTCGCAGTCGAGTAGTTTGCCATTTTCTTCACGCCAGCGTGGCTGTGGAGCCCAGTAGTCAGGTCGACCAAGAAGATTTTGTAGAAAGTCTGGGTTTAGCTGTAAGGAGCTAAAGAGTCTGTCGACAGCGCATTCTGTCATGGGGACGGAATATCCGTAAGACGCTGTATCTTTTGTATGCTTCAATGGAATGAAGAACAAGAGTGCTTTCCGGTTTGATACGGTAATGCTTGGATCTGGTTGCATGGATATAGCTGGTACATCAACGCATCTCTCGCCGGCTTCTGCTAGTAAGGTGCTGAGGTTGCTCTCATCTAGTGTGAGCCATCGTGGTCCTTTATCGTCGATAGACAAACACTCTAATGAAGTCTCAGTGCTAAAATTGGCAAGCTGACCAACGTGTTTCTGATACATGATCCCAGAGAACATATCCTGGAACGAATTGATCGCAGAGAAGGGATAGTTTCCCAAATCTACATCAAAGTCCAAGTCCAGCTCATTCACTTCATGTTCGTTTCCCTCGGCATGTCGTTGCATATGTTGGCCGTCTTTAGAGATCGGGCGGACTCTGATGTCCTCAGTAATGAGTGTGGTTTCCAGCTTTGAGAATTCGACTTCAGGCATTGCTGTTGGCATCGTAAGGTGGGCGATCGTTTTAGGACTGCAGCAGGTGTCTGCACTTCACTGGTCATGTTAAATAGAGGTAAAGTGACCATCATATCTGCCTGCATCAAGGCTGGCAACAATAACGAGGCAAGTAGAGGGGCCAAAATGACAAGGCTGAAAGTCAGCACTGTGAAACCTTATTTGATCGAGCCAATCACCAAGTCACCAAGTGGAAGGCGCGCCCACCATGTTACACAAGCCTCAAGCTGATCTATGAGATCTTCCACGTTGGGACGCATGTATGGCTCAGTCGCTTCGCCCCCGCTAATGCGATGACATCTTGCTACCGCATTAGTATCCGGTGCTGGCCAGCTGTCCGAAGGAAACCTATTATTTACAATGCCAAGTCTGGTTCACGGGACGGACTGAAGATCATGGTCAGCAGGCAAATTCTGGTCAGCTTCGTTTCGACTGCCGACTTTTGTGTGACACTAGGTCGTCATGGCTGTAATCTGAAGTGCCAGATACATGTTGGCATTGGTCTGGAGGTCGGTAAGTGTGTTGGTCATGGCCGTGATGACGGTCGGGAAGTGTGTAAGTGCGGCCACGGGACTGACCCAGTAGAGGAGCTCCTCGCTGACGTACGTCCCGAACGTGTCGCGGATCCTGTCCACCTGCCATGCGAGGTAATCCGGCATGATCTGTTCCCAGGCGTCCTGGAAGTCGTAGGTGATGCCTTGGGTCGCAGCGTAGCGGGTGAGATCGCCGAACATGGTCGCAATATTGTTAAAGTTCGACGACAAGGCAGTCACGACGAGGCTCCCAGCGAAGAGACGCGGGCGTCTCGTCGCTGGCTCCGTTGCGACTCCGAGGCCCGGTCCAGACACAGGCGCCTGCTGCGGGCGACGGGCCGGGTGGCGTGCCGGCTGGGTGGCCTGAGGTGAACTCGCGTAGGTTGAGAGCGTAGATGGGACTGGGATTACCTGGGAAATAAGAAGACTGTAAGCGATCTGGCGCTGCGTCAGGCCTTCATCGCGTAGTGTATTAATCCGAATTCGATCGTCGCGATTGAGTTGACAGTCAGGCGTTCTTAGAGGTCTCGAAATTCAATTGCCATCGTCAAAACGAGTATAACAGGTAGTTGTGGGTGATGTATAGGGTGTTGGGGATCAGGATTATTGCTGTGGTTGACGATAGAAGCTGCGAGATGCGGCCCGTGCCGGGCGCTAGGCTACGCTAGTGGCTAGTTTTGCGCTACGCACGCGAACTAGCGTTTGGACTATACATACCCTTCAGTACTTTCAATCGTGGACTGCAGCGTTTGGCGGCTCTGTTCTGTCATGTCTCCCCTCCATAAAAAAGGCGCTCGTTTACGCTGTATATACCAAGCGCTGGAAAGTGCTGTATCACTAAATTACCTTCCTAAATGAGCTACAGCCCCTGAGACTTTATGTACTAAATCGTGCACCCTACCATCTCACTACTTACCTTATCCACCCCGCCTCCAACCTAGAGCTATGTCGCAACCGTCCAGCTTGTTTACCTCCTATACCGACGCCGCCAGTACCTACTGGCCGCCCGGTTGGAACTTCCAGCGGTATGCCCACGCCACGCCCGCGGACGACGCCGCGCTGTCGGACGAGGAGCGCGCTAAGATGCAGGCTGGCTTCCGCAAAGCGCTCGGCGAGGACGGCGTCATGGAAATGGCCCGCGTCGTGTGGCAGGAGCAGCTGCGCCGCATGAAGCTCGAGAAAGAGTCTTCTTCTGCCGCCACCGCGTCGTCATCATCGTCTGCGCAGAAGCAGCAGCAACAGCCTCCATCACCTCCCCCCGACTGGCTCAAGACTTGGCGCAAACGGGCGGGTGGCGACGGCGGCGGGGCCTGGGGCTTCGTCGCGTTCTGTACTTCTAGTGCCGTCGCCGCTATGCCGGAGTCGGACGTGGCCAAATTCCACACACGCGTACGGGAGATGGCGGAGATCCCGATCCAGAAGGCGTTGGAGGAGGAAGGCCAGCCGGCCGACGAGATCGCCGAGGCGCGACGATCGTTCGAGATCCGCTGGGTCGAGGTGGACGACGACGACGAAGACGTCAAGGGCGAGGAAGGAAAGGGAGAGGCGGGGACAGGGAAAGACTGGGTTGAGAAGGCGCGCGCCAGTTATCGTGCCATGCGCGAGTCTGGCGTCCTCCCGTCGGGTCTCGATCTGCCTGTCTTCCTCTGTGCATCACCTGCCGCCGTGGCCTCGGTGCTGCGGACGTCGCCGGCGGAAGCGAAGGAGGCGCACGATGGGAAGCCACGTTGGCGATCCGGCGATGTCCCATTCCTGCTGGTCGCAGCCGCAGAGACGGAGCAGGGGATCGTCGAGGACGACGACGACGACGAAGAAGAAGAAGAAGAAGAAGAAGAAACCAAGGTTGGCGGTGGGGAAAGGAGCTGGTTCAAGCCCGTTTTCAAAGCGGCTGCCGAGGTGCTGGTGGACGAGCTCTGGTGGATCGTCGCGGAGCAGATGACGTCGCTGGGCCAGATGACGAGGTTCGTTCGGGGCGCGACGGTGGCTGAGGAGCATGTCACGACGACGGAAGAAGAGAGGCAAGGGGAGGGAGGAGAGGCGGCTGATGTTGGTAGTGGACGGGCCGAGGAGCTGGGCCATGACGACGACGGGCTGGATGACATATGGTGGACAGTTCACATGCCGCCGCGTCAGATGAGGAAGAGGCGGAGGGTACGAGCGAGATCTGGATAGTGAGTCCGAAGAGCAACTTACCTGACTGGAGTGTCAACTCCTGGGCATGTCAACATGTGGCTCCCTGCATACCATACACGATCAGCCCGCTGCTACTACCGCATCGAGTCCTCACGAACGATCGCCTTCTAGATGATACTTTCATATTATCACCCTTCTGACACTCGTGGGCGCCTCTCCAGGCAGCTACTCCACTAATCATTGGGATTGCAACCTGATCCGCAGTCAAAACTCAAACATCTCGACGTAATCGAAGTCAGAAGATCTGCTTGACCCCTTTTAGATCAGCGATGCAACAGAGGCAAGGTATGCTCTTGCGATGGCGCCTTTCCATTCTCAGGCATGAGCCGCGCCATCTCATATCCAGCTTCCATGGATCCTCTCGAGGCTTTCCCATACACCTTTGGCACCTCACGCAACCCGTGCATCTCAAAGGCCAAGACTAACCTACAAACAAGCGTCCCCGTAAATACAAGACCAATCATCCAAATAGCGCTCCACATCGGGACAAATAGAATCGTCGAGAGAACAATGATACCGTAAATGACATCAGCCCAAATGCAAAGCCTGATCAGCCAGTTGAGAATCTGATAGATCGGACCGTTTTGAAGTTTGATTTCATCAGGTTCGATGTCTGTCGCGAAGGCACAAGGAGTGATTTCATTTCGGAGGAGGGAGATTAACGAGGTTTTGTTCCGCGGGCGTGTCGATGCAGCATCGTCTGCCAAAGGAACGCGGCACAAACGTAGTTGCAAGACGCCAAGAAAGTGTATAGGGATACCAATGAAGGCCCAGAGCAGCGGCGCAAAAGCTTCTAGCGTACCGCCATACTGCCCCATCTGGGTGCTGATCAAGACGACAGCATAGAATGTAAGGCGGTAGAAATGATACACCACATTTCCAGCGGCAACCATAACCGCGAAGTATTCTAGGAGAGAAATTACAACGCTCAACCATGGCCGTCGCGTCCTCAGCCAGGCGGGCCAGAAAGGCGGCGAGTCCTCGGCGAGAAGGGACTCCATGCCCGTAGTCTCGTAGTCCAGAGCTGGGCATGGCGATCCAATCGTTAGAAACAGTGCCAGAATGGGTCTCCGGGTAGCGAGGATGGCGAGGTCGCTGAATTTAGGGCCTATTAATTGCAGCACCCCAGGAAGTAGACCAAGCATGACGGCTACAACGCCGAATTCGGACTTTGTTACTTCGTCGGTCTTGGCGAGTATGCCTAGTTGAGTGCCTTGGTTAGCGGGACATGGCGTTACAAGGTCGGGTGCTACGTTGGTTGGCATACAGTCGATGAGCGCAGTGGAGTTAGAGTTGTAAGGAGACTTGTTGAGAGTTCCGTATGCCTCCCAGCATTCTTCCTCTTCTTGAATTATTTTCCATTTCCCAAAGGTGTCAAAATCTACATGCCAGAGGTGGTTGCTGTATGCGCACGCCGACGTCGCAAGTGCAAGGAACAGGAGAAGGCGTTGCGTGGGAACAAGAGAGATCATAGTAGTGGAAGGGGATCTGTCAAACAAACGCCACTCTCGCTGTAAAAGAATCTTCCGGAGTAAAGATGAACAGGATCAAGAGCACTACTGAGTCGCCTTTATGTGCAAGACCTTACATCTTGAACAACTCGGTGCCATCAGCCGCGTGGGGGCCAACTACTAGCGCCGTGTCGCAGGATGTCGCAAAGTCCTTGGCAATACGTTTTTGGTCCCATGTGCGAGGCGCATCGTACTTCTTTCGGCAGGAAATGGGGGCCAAAATTCTAAGGCGCTCTAGCATCCGGGTTCTCCATGTTGTAAAAGCCGTCGGACATAAGACTCTAGTTGCGGATTTCTCGTGTCTTCCACGCCATGAGTTTTCGAGATGACGTGAGCAAATCAAAACCAGTTCTCAGTAGCTATAACGCACGACTGTTTTATACACACTCCCCTATGAGTGGGGTGATAGGGCGCGTCTGTGTACGTCTATACAAATCCTGTATGTGCGGTGGTGGATACTACCAGTATGCTTACGTCTTGGCCACCGGAGCCTGCTATAGAAATAGAAGTCTCGCTGATTTGACCTCGCTCAGCCGCGCTACTCTGTTCTTCGGCGCGCTAAACAACAGATCTATTTCGGCCCAGGTATCTTTGTTGAGAATAGTACTTTATCTCTTGAAGGTGGAGTATGTCTTGAAGTGAGTCTTTCAATTTACTGTATAAGCTCAACTCATGTTGTGGGTGGAGCGTAAGGTGTATAAGCTTGTGTGGTTGTTTTTGGCTCTGGTGTCTTCGTGTTAGCATACGACGATTGGTACTATATTTTGTTTTGCAGTTTCTATATACACAGAATGCTAACCGGAGCGCGCGAGTCAAAGTACGAGGTTGCTTTCTGTGTTAGGGTCTCACAAAGATCAAATGGTTGATATCGTGTTGAATGACAAAGTTGTTGCAGTGCAGAAGTACAAAGGTACCCCGCGTAGATGATATACAGAAAGCACAGGCCGTGAGGCGGCCTGTGCGCGGGAACGTTCCGAAGAACAGGAACATAAACTCTAACGTCTCGAAACCATTACATTCTGGATTGGGTCTATATCTATGGAGTTATGACACGTTTTGTATAAGTATGTGTGCTGGTAGCAGTCGAATATCTGAGTATCGAGACTGATCGACTCTGGAAAAGTTCATTTCTTGCAACATTATTCTGCGAGGTAGAAATGGATAGGACCCCGGCTGGGAAAGTAGAGATGAAGTCGATTGCTAGATCGACAAGTGTATGCCTCCAGGAAGAGAGTAGTACGTTAAGACTAGTTCACAAATAGACACACAGGTCTATATAAAGCAACGTTTTTACGACTTTAATGAGCTATAACCTTACTCGAGCTACACTATCCGAAAACCCTTTTACTAAATCTCAAAGGTATCTCCGCCTTCCCGTTCCGCCCCCCAAAATCAAAACGCCGTCAAATGCACACGCACACGAGGTCGAAACACCAGCAACAAAGAACGCCACACATGCAATCCGCTATCCTCCTTTCATTTCGCTGCCTAAGCATCCGTCCTCGGTTTCTTATTTGGCAGCGCAGGGACCTTGAAACCGCCCGCATCCGTCTTACCACCACCATTAAGCTGCGTAAAACTACCCCCCTTGAACCACCGATCTTCATCTGCTTTTCTCTTCCTCGCCGCCTCCTCCTTGGCCCTCGGGTCGATAAGCTCAAGTCCTTGCACAGGCGTAAAAGCAATAGACCCCGTTCCACTCCCGCCCAATCCCACACCTCCCGTCCTCAATCCCTGTGCGCGAAGACTAGTCGCCGTGCCACTGCCTCCAAAGCCTTTGAGGGAAGATGCAGCGCCGAGCGTCGTGTCTGTGCCCCAGCCAGGGTTCTTCTTGCTAAGTTTGGCGCGTGTCTTGGGATCGATTTGTTGGGCGCGGAGACGGCCGGTATCTGTTGCTCCAATCATACCCATGCCCTTGACAGAGTCACCGTAACCGACTTCCTTCTCTTCCTTGCCAAACGTCATGCGATTTTGCGCTTTGCGAATTTCGGTCATGGCAGTTGCTTCCTTGGCCTTTCTAGCACGTCTTCCACCGCGCTTACGTGACGGCTTCTCATCGGGTACAGGGAGTGCGCGTCCACCGGCTTTTTGGTTAGCTGGCATTTCGACGAGTTTGTCGAGACGGCGTTCACATTCTTTACGAAGGTCCATGCCAATGTCGGCGGTGTGCGAGTTGGAATGTGCGTCCACGCGTGCGGCAAGAATGACCTTTGCAGATACAATGCGCAGAGCTTGTTTCCGGAGATCCGGGCGTTGATTCTGGATGATGTCGCTGTGATACAGGTAACCTTCGTGTCGTAAACCCATATTTGACAAACCGACGGTAGCGCCGGAGACTTTTGTTGAGCCCAAAGGCGCGATGTTGCAGGCGGGGGTTTTGGCTAGGTTTGCGATACCGCCGGAGTAGGAGATGAGATGGGCGGCAGTCAAACTTCCAATCAAAGCAGTCAGGTTCGGCGCAAAAAGTTCTGTGCGGGATTCGACGAAACCTAGGATCTTGGACTTGGCGGCGTGGAGTTCGAGGAGGAGGTGGCAGGCGCTTGATACCAGGTCGAGCTCGGTTTCGTTGAGCAGCCTCCCTTCGACGCGTGTTGCTTCAATTTCGACAATCATGACCTGAGCAGGCTCCATTCCCTCGATTTGCCGTAGCTTGGGGCTTATGTCTTTGATGTCTGAGAGGGGTCCGCCGCCGATGACTAGACATGCTTTTGCGTAGACGACGGGGTTCTTGATCAAATCTTCCAAGTGGGGGAAGAAGGCTGAGTAGTGGTCGCGGATGAACTTGTGGACAGTAGCGGTTTCGCCGTCGATCTGAGTGGAGAACTCGTTGGCCTCGGTGAGGAGTTGGTACTCTGGAGACTCCTCAAAGGACTCACCCTCGACTATGTCCATCTGGTCCTGTGTTTCTTCGATGCGCTTCAACACGGGGTCTAGGTTGGCTTTGAGCTGCTGGGCGGATCGGATGTCGGCTGGACCCTTGTCTTCTTTGTCCTTCTTCTCCCGGTATTGCGCCTCTTCGTCCACCATGTCATCGTCGCCCGAACCCTCAGCAAAGTCATTTTCAAGGTCCTGGACATCTTCATCGCCGCTATCGGCGAAGTCGGCCAGAAGCTCTTGTTCGAGAGTCGCCATGGTGGAGTGCGGTCCGAGGTAGTCGCGACGGCGGCCAGAGGTTACCCTCCTAGTAGATTTCGGTTGAGTGTTGGGTTCGTTATGGCGCAGTATTATACGTACCTGTAGCCCGAGTTGGCCGCCGGTCGAGTGTGAAACGCGCGCAGGGGAGAGTCGTGTCGTGGGAGAAGAGAAGTTGCGACGGGCAGTGACGTGAAAGAGCTAATTGCTTGGCGTGCAGCGGGTAAAAGCTGCGCTAACGGAGTCGCGTTCTCACCTTGGAGAATAAACTTGTCGCATTGCCGAACAACTTTGCATTTACGAGAATCGCTGTCGCCTAGCTATCGTGTTGCAGTCGACTTGCGCAGGCATCCGCCGTCACGTGTCTGCCAGTTTCTCTGTCCAGGACCGAAGTTGGAGCTCTAATACCACGACACTGCCGAGGCGCGGTTGCCCTCACGTCCACGACTGACGTGCGCCTCGCCGTCTCTCGCCATCGCGCGCATACCTTTACTTCCCACATCACGCCCTTGAATATCGCATCCCCGCCCCAAACATGGAGGCAACACGAGGACCCCCGCGGGTCAAGAACAAGGCCGCAGCGGCTGTCCAGATCTCCGCCGAACAGCTGCTTCGAGAAGCCGTCGACCGTCAAGATGAGAAGCTCAAGGCGCCAACGCAAAGGTTCGCGGATATCGAAGAGCTCCACGAGTTCCAAGGCCGTAAGAGGAAGGAATTCGAGGATTATGTACGGCGGAACCGCATCAACATGAACAACTGGATGCGCTATGCTTCCTGGGAACTCGAGCAGAAGGAGTTCAGGCGCGCACGATCCATCTTTGAGAGAGCTTTGGACGTATGTATTCCTAGTACCAACTGCATGCGAGGCACAGACTGACTCCCATCTAGGTAGACTCCACGTCAGTTCCACTATGGCTGAGGTACATTGAGAGCGAGATGAAGCATCGCAACGTCCAGCATGCCCGCAACCTTCTCGATCGCGCTGTCACTATTCTCCCACGAGTCGACAAGCTATGGTACAAGTATGTCTACATGGAGGAGACGCTTGGTAACATTGACGGTGCCCGCTCAGTCTTCGAACGCTGGATGCAATGGGAGCCCGAAGAGGCCGCATGGAGCTCATACATCAAGCTCGAGAAGCGCCACGGCGAATTCGAGCGATGTCGCGCAATTTTCGAGCGCTTTACAGTTGTACACCCCGAACCCAAGAACTGGATCAAATGGGCCAAGTTCGAGGAGGAAAACGGCACCAGCGATCTTGTACGCGACGTCTACGGCACCGCCGTCACGACCCTCGGAGATGAGTTCATGGACGAGAAGCTCTTCATGGCATATGCAAAGTTCGAGGCAAGACTGAAAGAGCTGGAACGTGCTCGAGCCATTTACAAATTCGCCCTCGATCGCATGCCAAGGTCGAAATCGGTTAATCTACACAAGGCCTTTACGACGTTCGAGAAGCAATTCGGAGACCGGGACGGTATTGAAGATGTTATCCTGTCTAAACGGCGGGTGCACTACGAGGAGCAGATCAAGGAGAACCCAAAGAACTATGATAGTTGGATTGATTTCGCCAGGCTGGAAGAGACGTCTGGTAACCCCGACCGAGTGAGAGACGTTTACGAAAGAGCCATTGCTCAAATTCCCCCAACGCAAGAAAAGCGCCATTGGAGACGGTACATATATCTCTGGCTCTTCTACGCCGTCTGGGAAGAAACTGCATCTCACGACATTGAACGAACACGCCAAATTTACCAAGAGTGCATACGCCTGCTCCCCCACAAACGCTTCACATTCGGCAAAGTGTGGTTAGCATTCGCTCATTTCCTGGTTCGACAAGGTGAACTCACCGCTGCACGCAAACTACTCGGTCAGAGTTTGGGTATGTGTCCAAAAGACAAGCTGTTCAAGGGCTACATTGAGCTAGAAATGAAGCTCTTCGAGTTCAATCGCTGCCGCCAGCTCTACACAAAGTATATCGAATGGAACGGTTCAAACTGCCATACCTGGATCAACTTTGCCAACCTAGAGCGCGGTCTCGATGATCTCGACCGCGCACGTAGCATCTTCGAAATAGCAGTCGAACAAACTGACATGGATATGCCGGAAGTGCTGTGGAAAGCATACATCGACTTTGAAGAGGGAGAGGGTGAATACGAGCGTACACGCGCATTGTACGAGAGGTTGTTGGAGAAGACGGACCATGTCAAGGTGTGGCTGTCTTATGCGCAATTCGAGTTGGGAGTTCCAGATGAGACCACAGCAGAAGACGACGACGACACAATCAGCGACGCCGCCAAAGCCCGTGCGCGCAACATCTTCGACAGAGCGCATGGCAAGCTCAAGGAACGCGACCTCAAGGAAGACCGTGTGGCACTGCTCAGCGCCTGGAAGGCGTTTGAGGATGTACATGGTACCGAGGAGGATAAGAAGAAGATTGAGGGACAGATGCCAAGAAAGGTCAAGAAGAGGAGGAAGCTCGACGACGACAGCTTCGAGGAGTATGTCGATTACGTCTTCCCTGCGGACGACGAGAGCGCTGCGAAATTGTCGAAGTTGTTGGCCAATGCGCAGAAGTGGAAGATGGCGCAGGCGCAGGCAACGCAGGCAGCGCAAGGTGCGGGAGAAGAGAATGGGGATGGCGAGTAAGGGGTGACGTGGTGGCAAGAAGGAGGGGATGGAATGTATTTGTAGGACAAGACGAACCGGCATCGTTGATATCATGGTGTTTGGCTAGTCAATGTGCAATACAAGGTTTTGGTACTGAGGGCAGTACATGACGGTGCGAGGTCTTCGTCATTACAATCAACCAATCTACGCCTGCTGCTCTTCGCATTTGCAGATCTTACCGAGTTCATGTCTACCCCAATACAAGATCGAAACGCACATTCTTGTTTCTGGTGTGCTTGAGATATTGCAATGTTAATATGCAGAAAGGAATGTTTACAAGCAGTTTTGGACATTGCTGCGATTGTACCAAGCTGTCACGATGTTCTATTGTCACAGAATTCCAGCCACAGACTGGTAAGCCACCGGGAACCCTTCGGGGCACCGTCGGCCCACACCAGCCACGATCACGTGACGTAGATATATATCATCCCTCTAAGAGGCTTGATAGCTCCTTAAGAATTCGTCTCAATACAAGCCTATACCAATATCTTAGTGCCTGCCAAACTGCTCCTCACAAGTATTCAGTTGTTCTCCATCGGAACGGGTGCTCGATGCAAATTAGTTGTATTATTGCCATGTATAGCTATTGTTGGTTGTTGAGTGAGTGTCGTGTATGTTGTCTGAGGGCCTATCGGCCTTTTGCTTTTTCTCCCACCTTCGCTCGGGTCTTCCCGAACCGATTGCCCTTCAGTTCGCTACTATTCCCATGTTTCTCCACTACAGTGCGCAAGCGTACAGCGCGCGATAGTACGCGTCTAAACTGTAATAGGCTGGAGCCTAGTTAGTAGATCCTTGATAATATCTTGGTCACGTGCGCAAGCGCACGGCGCGCAACAGTACACGACTAAACAACGCTTAGGCTAAACCTATAAACCCTAGCTAAAGGTTAATCTAAGCTGCTACTGTGCCGGTGCACGAAGTGCTTAGTTAGTACGGAGGAGTACATCCTTAGTGCTTTGGATGCATCTGCTGGAAGACACTTCACACACACTTCATTCAATCATCAACTTTTGAACTTTATCTTGTACATTAGCAGCCAACGCAGGCATTACTACACTCTTTTAGCTTTTCGAATACAACTGAACAACACCTGTACAACCTCCTCCCCTTAGCTGTGCTGAGGAGATGCTTCGACATCCTCGTTGTAAGAGGCTACGCCGGTGAGTCGTACGACAGACGCTAGGAAGGGAGGAACCTTTCTCTGTACACTCTTAGCGCAAGCAGCGTACGAACGCTTCGCGCTATAAGAAGAGAAAGGTACTATTGCTTCTTTCTTTCTCTATCTTTCTTCTTCTGTATATAGGACAAATGCATACTTGTTAGCAGGCCTCTTTCTACCTAAACATTTACAACAGCTTAGAGGTGCAGTTTTTTGTATAGGAAACTGTGTAGACATATACAGTTCTATACAAACTTTAAAGCAATTCCGCAAAGTATAGAATCTAGTAGTTTGCGCAAGGTCTAGTAGTTTGCGTAAGGTCTAGTGGTTTACAACGTTATACGTCGATATCTTGCTAACTAGAGCAGCTATTAACAAACCGAGCGCAGATTTGAAATTGTGGCGTATATCTGCACAAAATAGCTTCTTTAAATTTTCTATGTCTTGCTGTATAGCTAACGCTAACTACCGCGATCCTACTCCTCTTTTCTTGTCGCTTCTTATTGCTCTTGCCAAAAGAAGCGCAATCCTACTTGAATCGCGGTCATCCTCTCGGGTAGGTCGTCCTCTTAGATAGACCTGATTTGTCTTGTTATATAGGTTAGGACCTCTTTCGTCGCGTTATAATAGATATACAGATGTCTGTACAATACTTACGTACTGTCCGTGTCAACACAACGATACGATGAAGCATTAGTTGCATCCCCACCTTGGTAAACGGACACAAGCGGGTAAGGGCAAAGATCCCTTGACAGCGATGTTCCGTTAGCAGGTTGCATTCCAGTTGCCGATATGGTATATGGGGCGGCACCGTTCTCTACCCATTCGACTAGTTGCTGCAACCCACCGTTCACAGGGTACACACCAGGGCCACCTACGCAATGATGAAGACCTGGCACAAGAAACAGCTTGTAGTACTGGTCCACGTTAATATCCAGCGCGGCCACACGGTCATAGTATTGCACTGAGGCGCTAGGGGGGATCAGGTCATCTGCAATACCGTGCCAGGTAAGCAACTTCCTCCCTGCTTCTTTGAAGCTTGTGAGATCTGCGTCATTGGTGCCGAGAAACGATTCCCATTGCTGGTAGCCAGCGTACATGTAGTCAGGTAGATTTTCTGCAGTGATTGTGGAAGCGTCGAAAGTTATGTTTTTCTCGATGAAGAGTTGGTAGAACTGTGCGCCATATGCCCAAGCAGAGAAGGAGCAGGTATCCATACCTCGGCAGTCCGTGTCCGCCGTTGACCTCAAAGGTGCGTCTAGCGAGTATCCTGGGTAAATTTTCTCTTTCCGCCGGTTGGAGACACCATACCACATAGCATTCGCAACGGTTGCTGCTGCTTCTGAGATTAAATTGGAGCTGTTGTTGTTGCAGCTGGCGGGCTGACTGACGACGGTAAATGGGTCGAAATGACACAACTCTAGGATGGATATCATAGAGTCTTCGACGCTATCTGAGGCATTACAAGCGGCAATTGCTGCTGTAGTTATTGCTTTGAACTCGCAATTGGGAGGATATTCGCCTAGGGTATGTATTACAGCTTAAGCATGAAATAAGCTTGCAAAGAGGGGGTTTAGATTTAATGCAGGGGCTGCAGCTACAATACTATCGAAAGCCTTAGGATAGCGTTGAGCTAGCATTATACCCTGTCTACCGCCTTGGGAACATCCTATCCAGCTGCATTGAAAGTCAGCCAGTGTTTTCTCCAGACACGCACTGGTTTGCCGACAACGTCTGAAATCGCAATACCAGACTTATACATACTAGGAGTAAGTGGGAGCCTTCTTATAGAAGCTTTCCGTGATTATCTTCCTAAAAATGGAAAGCTCGTTTAACGTAACAGAGCCGAAATTCTGTACAGCAGCGAGATCGATATTACCTGGGGATCTGAGCGCCTAAGGAATAGCAGTGTCTTTAGACGCATTATGGCTACTATTAGTTAAAGCTGCTGTATACCCGGAAACGATGGCTGGGAGCAAGCCTTGGTTAAAAACACTAGCGTGCTATCTACTGCCTCTGATACCCTGGAAGTGTCTGTTCTACTGCTTTGGCAACTATACTTGAAGGTTGACTGTGTTGTTCTGACGTGGATGATTGTAGGTTATTGCTACACGACAGTAAGAGATATTAAAGGATGAGAATTTAAGAAGCGACATAAGTTGTTCGGCTAGGATTGGAGAGCCTGTCGGCGTCTATTGCGTCCTGAGTTCGGCGGTGAATTCCGTGATTGCAGTGCTGCTGAGGTAGGGCTGTTGGAGGCTTGAACAAGCTAATGCGCGCGTTGCTAGGGTTGTTAGAAATTAAGATTAAGTCTAATAGGTTACAGTTACATAATTGGACTTAACCTACCCTAAGCTATATACATTATGTACAAGAAAAGGCACTGTTCGTGCTGGAGGTGGTTTCAATGTTTGCAACAGGAGATAGCCCGCTGTTACACTGTTGGGTGCGAGTATTGTAGACAGAATCGTTAGAAGAGAGTGTACGTGTTGTGTTGTTTGCAGCATCCTAGCTTAAATTATATAGAGGTTATCGCTCGGCCTTATTATCGGTGCCTGCGAAAACATATAGCTCCCTAAGCGTAGCCCCTTACAGCGCTATCCTAGGTAGCTAATTAGAGCGCAGCTGCTAAGTAAGCAGCTGCGCAATTACTAAAATTCCTACGCGAATACGTCCCGTCGTACGCTACTTAAGCTACGTCCTTTTCTTAGCCTAACTCTATACTGTTAGCGATACTGTAATGAATATACCAATCACATGCACCTATCTTCCCTGCCCGCCGGCTCCGTGACACCTTATCTGTATTTTCTCACCGCCTCTGTACTATGCTTCTGCTTCCTTACAAAACGGCTTGTATTACACTAGATATCGTACGTGGCTACAATAAACGCTTCTAGTAAGCTCTTAAAACACGTGGTTGTAGCATCTCGTGATATCAAAAATGAATCAAGCTATTTAAATGAAGTTAGTAAACCTTTGCCTTGATTTTCAACCGCTGCGAGTCCTAAGCTATATCATGTGGTTCTTCTAAGAGTTGCGAGCTCAATTCTTCACATCCGTTCCCCCAGACCTAACACTATCGTCGCACTCACTCGTACATGTAGCAAAAATCATCAGCGTCCGCAAACATAGCCGACTCAACTGTAACGTTCCACGGCGGCATCAAGTCGGCAAGGTGAGCACCATTTTCCCAGAGAGGGTTCGATTTTGGTAATGTGGCCAACTCATTGGGTTTCCCGCCGTAGGCCTTCTTGGCCTCTTCGCTCTCCTGCTGGAAAGTGTACCACATCTTGTCGATGAATGCATGATGAAGCCAGAAGACGGGCTCGTTAGGCGAGTTTTCGACGGCCGTCATGTCTCCTTGAAAGTCCATCTTGAAGCCGCCGACGCCCTGGTGGATGGTGCCATGGTGCGGTTCGAGCCAGCGTCGAAATGCATCGTAGTTTGGTGCAAGGGTCGACGCGTTCCCATTCATCTGCTCCATGTTGGGCACCGGTGCGAATCCGGGATCTCGGGTTCTTGGGGCTGTGAGGCCGTATTTCCAGAGCCGTCGGAGGCAGTGTCTAACGTTCACACTGGTGTCGTTGAATTGGCCCCCGAGGTTGAGAGTCCAGTTGGCGTAGCGTCCATTCTGAACACAGTAATCATCCCCTTGGCCGTCGCCCCCAAAGGCCTTGTCGCTAAAGATCGCAGCTTTGCTCAAAGCTGTGTTGTCATCGGCCCAGTTCCAGTAAGGTATGGAAATTTCGGGGTCAATAGTACGTAGTGCTGCCTCGTAGTTTCGGAGGAATAGGCGGTGCCACGGTAGGAAGGCGGGGACTTGATGCGATGTAGGCGTGTTATTACGGTGCAGAAGGGTAAAATTCGTGTCGTAAACGCTGAGTCCCGTGGCAGGGTCGACAGACTTACGCCACAACTCTTGTTGAACATCGATGAAGTGAGACTGCTCAGCTTCTGTCAATGAGCGCCAATCGCGGCGGACCGTGGTCTTAGAGCAACCAGCATAGGCGCTAGCGACTAGCGAAGATGCAAGGAATGTGATATCGAAACGCATGTTGAAGTATAAATTCTGAATCGTCTTGTGATGTAGGACAAGTGATGAGTTGATTTGATAATGGAGAGAGTTAGCAATTGAGGATATATATACTCTGATGTTATGTTTAGATTCGCTGTTCACAAATATAGAATTTGTCCTACATGCAGGACCTTGCATCTCGTAAGATAGAAATCAAAACCCCTAACGATTACGAGGTGCCCCGCCGAAAGGAACATACAAGGGATCCGCTGTATATGGTGAAAGCATGAAGACACCTTCGGCCTTGAGCTAATGCCGAGTTATACGAGCGTACGTGCCGTTTTCCGTCGTCGCAGGACATACCTCGTACAACGGGCCGACTCCAGCTAATCAGAAGCGTAGGATACTTTGAAACTCCCCGGTGGCATCGCATCCGTTAGCCGGGCATGCTCGTGTTGTTAAACACAAAGGTCCGGCCAAAGGTTGCCTATGATCGTAGTCGGTGTGTGGACACTACTGTAAGGGGCTACGCTCAGGGAGCTATCGCACAGGTATACTAGAGTTGTATTTAATAGAGAAGAAAACTACAGACTGCTAGAGTGCTGAAGGTCAATTAGTAGCAGCTTTGATTAACCTTCGGCTAGGGTTTAGGGGTTTAGCCTAAGCGTTGTTTAGTTGTGTACTATCGCGCGCTGTGCGCTTGCGCACGTAACTAGGATATTATTAAGGATCTATTAACTAGGCTCTAGCCTATCACAACTAAAAGCTAAATAACTTTTTACTTAAGTACTATTCTTATATAAATTCTTATTCTAAATAAGACTTTAGAGTATAAAGATTGAAAATATTAAAAAATCTTCTGAAAATACCTAGTATTAAGAAAGTTTTAGGTATATTTAGATTTTTCTTAGTAGTTCAACTAGCGACGTGGTTCATCTGGTGCACGGGCACTGTAGAGCGCCACGGAACAGCACGTAGTCCCTTCCTGCCATGACAAAGTAGTAGGTAACATCTCCAACATTGCAAACGACGTCCGTTTGAGATTTACGCGACTGATGATTTTGAGTGACTAGATCATAAGTCAGATCAGCTCATTTTCCTAATCAACAATCGGATTCCCTCTCTTTTTCCATACATGTCTCTACCAACCTACTTCCCATACTCCTGCTTCCTCATCATCAGCAGCCATCGCCTGATATGGATACACCATCTACAGGTCTCGAAGCCGCACAGTGTATCGATACCGTGTCACTCGGTATGGTGGTGATTGATGAGATCCGTCTGCCTTCCCGACCGCCACTCGTCGACAAAGCGAGGGGCTCTGGAATTTATGCGACTCTCGGCAGCCGTCTTTTTGCTACGCGTGCACAATCAAAGAGGATAGGCTGTCTTGCTCTTGCAGGCTACGACTTTCCTAATGCAGTACGGGAATAGCTATCAGCCTGGCACATGACTCTGCTGTTGAGCGTATCGCAGGACAGATTGAGTACTAGAGGTCTTCTCGAGTATCAAGGTGATACGTTCGGACGTATGTAGCTGGTTCGGCTTTCTCTTTGTTTGCTGGGCGACTAATACTCACATTTTGTGCAGGGAAGAAGTTTCGCTACACCACCGGCGCCACTGAAACCGTCACCATCGGATCTAGTAAACACCGTTCTACTCGGTTCACAGGCATTTCACATGCTAGCAACACCCGAAGAGATCGAAAAGCAGATTCCTGAGCTGATCAAGCTCCGCGCACAGTATGGAATCACAGAGCGTCCTTTTGTGGTGTGGAAGCCGTTCCCGGCGTCTTGCACCCGCCAGAATCGACACGCATATCTGCAAGCATGTAGACACGTGGATGTCTTCTCGCCAAACCATCTAGAGATATCTGCCTTGTTCGAAGATACATCTCCGAAGGGCTTTCAGCCTGACCAACTAGAAGCATATGCCCTCGAATTCTGCAAGGGCACTGGCGTGAGCGGCAACGGAATTGTCGTCGTGAGATGCGGAGAATATGGTTCGTTGACCACACGGAATGCCGCCACGGCCAAGCAGGTGTGAGTTCCGTCTTACTACGAAGCAGGGGCGGCTGAGGTTGTTGATGCTACTGGTGGTGGTAACACATATCTGGGAGGGTTCTTGCAAGGCTGGTAAGCATCGGGTGATGTTTTTGAAGCTTCTGTGTATGAACATGTGGCTGCTAGCTTTGCGGTGGAGCAGATTGGTTTGCCGGCTTGGGGAATGAGCGGTGGTGAAGAGACGTGGAATGGGGTTAGGGTGATACGGCGTCTAGATGAATATAGGGAGAAACTAAGGCTGGTCAAAAGAGGTTGACGGAAACTCTTGCGGCGGATGCAGGATGACAAGGCGAGTTTGGCGAACGATAGATGTGGAGATTGAAGTGAATGGATTGGAGCTTGGATCTCGTATGTCAGTTGACGGGTACCAGCTTCTATGCATAGGCTCCGCTCCTGCACTCGATCTGGTATCTCACGCAGTAGCAGCAGATGTGGCTTTTGTTTGTCACCAGCGAGCCCAACCCAGTACGAAGAAAGTCTCAAAGCAAAGGGTCACCTATCAGTTCACATCCCCCTACTCCTTTGCCGCCCATGCGCGACAGGATGTGCGCAGCTATGAGTGAGTCGAGAAACACAGTAGCGCAGCGATTCTGTTGGCCAATGAGATGTGGAGGAAGAATAGATGGAGAGCAAGGAATTGTGGTTTGCGAGAGGCCTGAACAATTGTTAGTCTTCAGACAAAGAGAGGCATTTTGGTGTATTTGTTTGTGATTGTGTAAAACTAAGTTGAAGTGAAGGTAACGATGAGAACAAAAATGCGCGTAGCAGCTGACGTCTATTTAAACAGGCTTCCATCTTCCTACGTGGCTCTCAACCTTGTCTCTCCTACACCTATAGCCACTCCTGTCATGGATCGAACCCAACTAGTAATATAATCTCAACTCTCAACTATTACCCGTTACATTCCAGGTCTTTGCACGACAACAGCTAATATATCTTCTCAGATCCAATACGACGAGTGCCTTAGAGCCATCCTCATCTGTAAGTTGAAACGCAATCATTCATACACTCATGATACTCACACTGCCAACAGCCGATGCTCGTGTCGTATACGGCCCCGGATTTCCTGCTGGCTCCGTTTTCGACGTTACAAATAGCCCTGGAGTGATTAACATCACTTCCATTGTTTCTCACGTCATCATTTACCCTACAACAAAGCTGTTCTCAGCAGACGGGGTGGTATCCGGCAAGTTTGTTGAAGTTATGCGCTCCACTGAGTTCCTCTATATACGACAAACCTACTGGAGTCTTATGAACTTACTGCGTCCTAAGATTCTCAAAGCAATTCGTATGTAGGAGTGCGATGAAGTGGAGAGATTATAGACTAACGAGCGGCAGATGATCAGAACCAGCAGGATAGTAACGAAGCTAAGGTCGTTCGATGGATCAGATCATACACCACAAGAGGAAGGTCATTACGGCATACAGCAGAGTACAAGTAGTTGTCATCTTGACTAGGCTGGTTCCTAAAGTGGTTTCTTCGTCTGCTGTCTTAACTTTTCCTAATACACAACCATCATCACTCCCCAAATGCTCCTAGAAAACAAATCCGTATCAAGCTAGACATTAGCTTAGTAGTTGACACTAGATTACTCTTGATAGACGTTATGACATCTCGTGGCAACGATCCCGACGATCTCAAAGCTCGTTGACCAATCGCTCTGCATGCCCTGTAATTCATTAGTATGCGTGACGCGTTTTTGAATTTGGCCTTCACTAACTCAGGGGTGTAGTCATCTTGACACGCAGAGCATCGACCAAGGACTCGTGTGCACGCACTATGTCGGAAGTCACTTCCGACTGTAGTAGAACTTGCAGAGCAGGAAACTGGTTGGGTTTGTGGTCGCAGTTGACGCGGTGAACAATGAGTGAGGCGATTATAAAGTCCCCTACGCCCTCAGTGCCCGGATAGCTGATCACGACTTCGAACTTGCAAAGCTGGCACTAATCTTCGTTATAGACTGCATTGGATTCATCTGCCGAATGCGTTAGACACGTAGTGAAATAGTAGGCTAATTTGAACTCACTGAGCACCCTGGCCTTTAGCATCTCTTCGTACTGGGCCTGTGCCAGCTTGTCGTGGGCGGAAGGCTCAAAGGTAGAAGGCATATTCGCTGTAGCTGTCGTTGAGAAGGTGTTTGAGGTCGCGTGTGAGGGAGATGGGGAAAGTCGAATTCAAAATTTGCAGTCTTTGTTTTGTTGACTGTGAGCAAGCTCGGACTGTAAGACGCGAAGTGATGGTGAATGCGATATAGCGCTTAGCGAAGTGTTTGGGTAAACAAGAGATTTTCGCGCACTACCTCCACCTCTTCTACACCCAACATTCGCGACTCTATCAAACGCGGGATACTCGACAGTAATACCAAGCACGATCATCACGATGGCCATGTCCAAGTATGAGACCATCATGTGGGAAAAGGAGATGAAAGAACAGATCTTATGTATGTAAATCACAGTTTCTCATATGTTCAACACCCAGTGCTAACTCAAGTAGCTCACGCTCGTGTTCTGTATGCTGAAGAGCTCACCCCGACTTCTGTCCTCGACGTCATCAGCACCCAAAGCACTTATGATCATCCTGTGGTTCACACAAGCTGTATCATCATGACCGACACACCGAGAAGTACTGAGTGCAAGGTTCTTCTCTCTTTCACGAGTAGCTTGAGCTCTCTGCATTACCGCTTGGAGACTCTACTAAAGTCTGAGGCAGGGACTGGCTCGTCGCATGAGTGAGTCTCTTTACCAATTTCTCATGAAGACCTTCTTGCTGTACTTTGCTAACACAGCGTTTCTTAACGTAGAAAAACTTGCGCAAGAGGCCGGTAAAGATGCGGTTGTTAGAGAAGAAGGATACTACTAGTTCGATGGAATCTTCCATTAGTACTAAGTCTTACTGTCACTGCCAACTGATATTCATAGCTACTGATAGGCGTTCGAAAGAAGAGCGAAAGGAGCGAGCTGAGTATGGCAAACTCGCACCTGAGTCGTCCCGCAAAAAATCGGCATCAATACTACCTGGGCTACTGAATAACTTCAACACTAATTAGATAAGAATAGCACACTATATCACAATGCATTCTGAACCACCATCTCCTCTCATGATTCCCTGTTTTACTGCTGAAGTGTTTGTTTCTAGTACAGTGACAACCAAAGCGCATAAGACATGAGCTCCCGGAAGATCAACCACACGACAATTACTCAATACGAGATACCATATTGCTCAAAATCCACACTGATGCAACCACTAACGAGCGTTATCTAATCCAAGAGAGCCATGAAGCCATCGTACATCCAACGAAACAACTATCCATCTTCCACCCTCCACAAGCCCACCTAGAAAGTGAGCTTATTACCCGCATTCGCCTGCACCGACGCCTTGACATTCGCACTGCCAAGCTTAGTATACGCGTACGGAACCGAGGTCAAAGTACCCTTGGGCGCCGTATTCGTCCCCGACCCAAGACTAACATCATTGGCAACAGCGTAGCCCGTCACCTTCCCATCATACCAGCCAATATCCTCGGTCGTGTTCTCAAACACGGTGCTTTCAACCAGGACCTGGGCGCCTTGGCGGGTATTGATACCGTTGGTGAAGACGCCGTTGTAGTAGCCTGTGATACGCGTTAGCGGGCGGGGAGTCCAACATGACTACTTTGAGAGAGAGAGAGAGAGAGACAGAGAGAAAACGTACTATTGACAATGTGGCCGGTTCCGAAGCGGATAGACGGGGTGCGTGAACTGATATTGTTCCAGTAGTTGTTGGCGTAGGTTACGTGCAGATGGCCTGTATCTTCCGCGCCGTTGCTGTCGGAATGTCCGACGAGAGACGCCTTGTAGTGATCGTGGATATAGCTGTTAGAGATGGTAACCCAGTCCGAAGCATGCGTGACGTCGATGAGGCCATCGTAGTAATCTTTGCCGTGATCAATGTCAGACGATACATCGACGTGGTCAACCCAGACGTTGGTCGATGCCTGGATGCCGATCGCGTCGCCATTGGTAGCCAGGACCTTTGAGATCTTGAGGTTCTGGATGACGACGTTCTTGGACTTGTCGACGTATAGACCTACGTTGGTGAGGGAGGCGCTGGAGTCGGTGCCGAGGATGGACTTGTTGGAGCCGATGTTGACTTTTGCGGGGCCAGTGATTGCGCCCTTGATGTAGATGACCTTGGCTGTCGTGTCTGTCTTCTTGCCAACGGCAGCAGTGAATTCAGCCAAGGACGCTACAGTCGTCGTGGTACCGCCTTTTCCACCCGTAGTGCCACCATTCTGAGAAGCATAACCAACAGGAGAGCCTTGCTGAGCGGCAGCAAAGGAAACAAGGAATGCAACACTGGCAAAGATTGACGTCTTCATTGCGCTAATGGAAGTGAGAATGCTTTGTACAAGATATCCCTTCCATTGCGCTCATAGTCCTGGTCTTTTTAAACATTTCAAAGAAGCTCATTACATCTCTTGGCACATCAGCTTCAAGGTGTGGTTCAAGCAACGTTGGCGAAGCTTGTCAATGTCAAGATCTAGCTCGTCTGCGGAACGATTTAGTCCACGAACAGGGCCTACCCCTCACACACACAACGCGTGGTGGGTTCCGCCAATCAAAGACGGCAACCCTTCGTGAGAAGAGTTCAAAATGACGCAAAAGTTGTTGAAGCGCGCCTAGTCAAGTCCCAGGTCGATGCCAGTGTACATTTGCGCTGCATGATTCGATAGTCCTCGTTGTTGGATGGCCTGTCGGTGGTCAGGCTAACTAGCCGAATCTGAAACATGGGGTACGTCCTTTTCGTGTTCGGGCCGTTCCGTAAATTGAACATTAATCAATCCGACAAGATGAACGATTGCAAGTTTTTCCGGTTCGTGCTGAATCTGTTGCCGGTGGAACAATTGAGACGAGTTTGTGGTTGGGGGGTGTGGGGAAGGGCCTGGCTAACACAAGCACTTGCCGTATTGGTGTTGCAATTCATCAAAATGGCGACAGTCTCAGTCAAGATCAACGTCGGTCATTTTGGTCTCCTTGATGAGAGACCGAAGGTAGCAGCTCCTCTATCACTCGGGCGACCTGTGTTGGGATACTACCCTCAGTTTCGATGGTCATTTCGACATGGAGGTATCCACCGTTTGTAGGATATTTTGAAGCGGTGCTAAGGTAGCGTAGATACACCAGTAGCTCGGAGGCTCGAGAGAATCAACGTCTAGGGTTCCTGAGGATGGCCAGGGTATTGTAGCATCTCTCCTGCACCAAGAGCGTTCCATTACAATGCATCTTGACTCTCCTCCTCTCCACGCATTCAGAACAGCTCATCCTCATCAACCTTCTCACCCCTCCGCCCCGCCAACCAAACCCTCCCACTCTCATAAGCCCCCAAATACAACCCCGCCCCGATAAACGTCCAAACACCCCTCAACGCACCACCTCTCCAAAGCCCTCTGAACCCCTTCTCTTCTACAATCTCTTTACCTATTGCCCAACTGCTCTTTCGGCCTTTGACAGAATCCGCCACCTTCTTCACCGTGTCTTTTGACGAGTTACCAAGGGCGTCGACTAAGCCGGCTTTCGCCCCACCACTACTCTGCGCATCTTTGCTGGGCCCAGAGCCAGAACCACCATCACCAGCCGCCAACATGACCCTCGTCTTCACGACATCAATCGGCGTCGTTATCACCGCCGACACCGCCCCCGCACTCCCAGCACTAACCGCAGTAATAACACCCATCTCGACGACCCCACCCCTCGTCAACCCCTTCTCATCCCTATACTCCTTGATACCCCCCTTCAGCCTCTCAAAAAGCGGAAACTGCATCGCCGTAAAAGGCAGATTGCGGCCCGCGAGAGCCGTGTAGCCGCGCCAGAGCGCCAAAGGGTTAGACCGAAACCTGCGCAGCGTGTCGAGTGTGGCGTTTGTAGGATTAGAGGAAGACACCATCTGCGCGTTTTGCTTGATGACTTCTGCGGGTGTGAGGATGGCGCAGGATACGAGTTCTGCGAGACTTGATGCGGATGCGTGGACGAGGGCGATGGGGAGGATATCCTCGCCTTTGGTATTGGTGTTCCATGTTGTAAACAGCGACTTTGTGCGTTCGTATGTCGTGAAGAAGGCTCCTGCTGCGGCGCCCCCGCGGTTAGTTTGTTGTTGCGATATCCGTTTTTCTTGATTCTGTTACGTTGTTGTTGTTGTTGTTGGATAGGGATGGGGAGGTAGGTTCGGCTTACAGCTAGGCAACGTAGCGATAATCACACTTCCGATGCCCTGGTATACACCGCGGAATAGCTTGGGGTCGACCTTGCCTGTCCGACTATCTGTGTACAGTTTTGCATATTGCGGACTTTGGATGCGTGTTTTTATCGTGTCGAGGGGGTATACGAGGAGGTCTACTGTAAAGGCTGCTATTGCACCGGCCTTTTTGTCATGTCAACGTTATTCGCTTCCATTCTCTATTTTCTCTTGGCCTTTTTCCCGTTATTTCCAAAGTTATGCCCTTGCTCTTTCCTGCCTTTTGGATCTGCCCGTGGACAGATATGTGTGTGTGCACGTGTTCATGGCGGTGCCCAATGTGCAAGCAAGCCCGCGAGCGAGTGAGTGAGTCGAAAAAAGTGAATACTCACAATTAGGATATCTGAATTAGTATTACCAGACATTTTTGCAAAAATGACACGCTGATCTCTTGTATAAAGCAAATGACGAACAGCAATTGCGTTGCCAGGATTATTTTGAACCTCGTAGATCTACAGGGTTCTCGATAAAACGCATGCATTACGTCACCAATGATCCTCCGAATGGAAACGCGTTTTCACGTGTTAGAATCGCTTTTCACATACAATTGCAACGACCGTGTCTGATAAGGGGTTCATCTTAAGTTATATGATATATTCTTCTTTTTTTCTTAATCTGATATCTCCTAGTTTTTCCCTTTGTGGTGGAAAGCTTTCAATGTAAAATCCCCTTTCCATGCCGCAGCACCGAAACTACCAAGATAAAAGAAGAAGATGGGGTATTTCAACCTAGTTCCCATACCAAGTCTCAAACTCCGCTTCCAAGAGAGAAGCAATGTTCAATCTTTCCTCCCTCTCCCAAAGACAAAAAAAATCAACCCCTTATAACCTCCCCTGTATAGAAGAAAACGCCCAGAACCCTCACTTTTCATAAGACATATCAATCATGGATGCTCGCCTGCGATCATCGTAACCATCATCATCGTCGTCGTCACATCGCCCTTCCCCTACAGCTTAGTATCCTGCCTATTACTGTCACTAAGCCTGCGGAACCCCGTCAACCCTACGACACCCATGCCCGGCCTAGCACCAGTATTCGCTCGTGCACCGTTGCTTGCGCCGCTTGCACCTGCAGTCGTAGCACCGCTGCCCGGTGTCCTGGAACCGCCGCCGGCAGCATTACTCCTCTGCTGCAGCGTCGCACTAACCACCCACTGCAAGTGCATGCGCATATTGCTGATAGCGGCGTTGACATGCAGCATTTCGTCTTTTGAGCGTTGACTCTCGTTTATAATCATCATGTTGGTGCGACCGTCGAGGTCGGTAAGCGCATTTGCGATGCGACTGACTTCTTCCCGCAGGCTATCATGCAGCGTAAGCAGATGATGGACCTGCGAGTCGAAAGGAGGTTGTGCGTTGTTGTTGTTCTCACTCCCTGCCGGTGGGAACGACGCAGGCGGGAGTCTGAAGTCTGGCGTAGGAGCCTGCGCATCGTTTGGATCCAGAGGGTCGGTGACGGGAAAACTCGCGTCGTTTCCATTGGCGGGATAAAGATAGTTGGTAATATTTGTAAGACCGTCTTCGAGGATCCCGACTTTGCGCGTCAGGGGTTCTAGTCTTGCTTCGTTGCGCTCGATACGGGCTTGTTGCTCGCGGAAGTGGGGGGCCATTGTCGCCATTGCGCAGCTGCTTTCGTGATTCAAGACATCGACTCGTTCGGCAGTGAACTTGCAGCCTACGATTGTGCCTTGGCATGATATGACATGTTTGGGGCAGTCGTTGTTGATGTGGGGTTTGAGATCTAGACGGAGGACTTGAGCTTCACACAGCGAGCAGATGGTCAGGCGATTGTCGCAGAGGCTTCGCTGGTGCTCCTCGAGGTCCTTCTTTAGCAGGGAAGCATGACAGTCGTCACAGCTGACGGTGTAATGCAAGCAGCCCTTGTGGAAATCCTTTTGGGATATCTGCAGGCGACAGTCTGCGGCAGGGCACTCGACGGGCGTGTATTCGCAGTACAGCATGACATGATCGTGGACATTGACGCGCTGGTCGACCCAGTTGCAGCCGGCTTTTGTGTTGGGACACTTGACCACCAGCTCGTCGAGCATTGTCTCGATGATCTTGGGCACAGGGCGAATGTCATGGTCCGTCTCCACAGCATGCCGACACGTAGGACACGTCCGCCGGCCGCTGGGCTGCGGGGCCCACGCGTGATCGAGACACTCGCGGCAGAAGTAGTGCTCGCAGGAAAGCTGGACGGGCCTATCGAAGGGCGCATGGCAGATGAGGCAGATGAGGTTGCTGTCGGGCGCGGAGACGTATTCGAGGTTGGCGAACTCGGGGGGTACTTTGACGATTCGGCTGTGACGACGCGCCGTTGATGGCGAATTGGACACGCGGACGGCCAGGGGCGAGGGGCTGCTTGGGGGGCCACCGACCATGATTCTGTCGTCGTGCTCGTCGGGCCAGCCTGTCCAGGCGGCGTTGCTGGAAGAGCGCGAGGAGCGTGAAGAGCGTCGGTCGTTGGGAGGTGGGATGGGACTGGGAGACGACATGGTTTGGCCAGTTGTCTTGGGTAGTCGGGGCAGCGAGGCTTCTTGTGCGCGCTGCCCAGCAGTCAGCGGTGAGATGCGCTGTCTCGGGTCTCCTCGTTGAGTGTCGATCCAAGTGAGTCTGGCGGGGTGGGTGGTTGGAGGATGGTCGCCCTGACAGTCATTCACTGGCTGCAGAGCGCCAGAAGCAAAGATTATATGGCCCGGTCAGGTCTGCGCATATTTCAGCAGGGCGAGGGAAGCATGCGGGTGTTGTTGTGTGTGGTTGCGCAAGAGCGAGGAATGCCGGCTGATGGCCGTGCCGTCGTGCATGCATGCAGGAGATACCCCAGCCCAGCCACGGCATGTGGACCACCTCTCAGGGCTGTCGTCAGCGGTCCGCTCCTGGAGTGCAGCAGCCTTGCCATCATCTCCACCAGGCACGAGCTTGTAGCTGCAACGTCCCGTGTGTTTCTGTCTTCGCATTGCCCTTGTGAATAATCGCGTCTACTCCCGCATACTGTCCCCGTACTACACCTCCGCCCTGAACCCACCCTTCACCACCCGCCACAAGCCATCATGGCAACCAACCCCCCACAGCTGTTCCTCCTCGCCGACCACATCAAGCTCTCCCTCCTCGAGCGCCAACGCGCATTATCCCTCAACCTCCCGTCCAACAGCCAAGATGGCCAGATCTCACGGTCACTGGAGCAACTGCGCTCCGGCATTGAATCGTTGGAGTCGCAAGTCCAAGACACATCAGACGAGTAAGAGAGCCTGTTATACCAACAAGAACATGGCCATGGAACTAACCGTCGCCGTCTCAAGTTCCATAACCTCACAACTCCCCCGCCTCCGCAGCCAACTGGCTGAACTCACATCGCAATTCACACCCGCCAACCCAATAGCAACAACGACCTCACCAGCCCTAACCTCCCCCAACGACCCCTCCCTATCCCGCGACTTTGCCGCCACCCAAAACAAGAAACCCACTACCACACGCTCAGCCTCAAAATCCGTCCGCTTCAGCGACAACGACGATGACAATGACGATGATACAAACCGCGCCTCCCTCTTCCCTTACCGCGACGATCCCCCCGACGACGCCAGCCCCAATCTCGCGCATCTGGACAACCAGCAGATCCACGCCTACCACGACCGCGTCATCGCGGACCAAGACTCGCAGCTCGATCAACTGGGCCAGAGTATCAGTCGCCAGCGCGAGCTGTCCATGCAGATTGGCGACGAGCTAGACGGGCAGGTCATGTTGCTGGATGATGTCGAGGAAGGCGTGGATAGACATGCGGCGCAGTTTGTGCGTGCCAGAGGCAGGCTAGATAGGTTTTCGAGGAAAGCGCGGGAGAATTGGAGTTTGACTGTTATTGTGGTGCTCATCATTATACTGGTTTTGTTGATTGTTATTACAAAGTAGTAAAGCATATAATAGGTCCATGGGGGCAGGCGTTGTTTTGTTTGAAATGGGAAGGAAAAGGGAATTAGACTTTTGATTAAGCGGCAGTTCCGTGCTATTGAGACGGAGTAAAGGAACCAGTCATTGTTTGTAGCAGCTAAAGACTAGCATGCATCGTACTGTTGATCATGCCATGCTCCTACTTGGGACCTCCACCATCCTTACCCACCACTTGCTACTACTACTACAACACGTCTGTTTTCGCCAACACAAAGCCACAACATCAGATGCTCTCGCTCATCCCCAAGACCCAACATCTGCGCACACCACTTGGGTGATACACAGCCGCTGACGCCTAAACGCCACGCATGATGCAACAAAATAAACAAGAAAATAGAAGACCGTAAAAATTTTGAAGCTCGAAGGGTATCGCTGTCTGAGTATATGCAAGGTGGAAACCCCGCTAGGGGCTTTGTGATCTGGTGCTGTGGATTAGAGGCCAAGGTCCAACCAGACCGGTGCTTTGTATCCCGCCAGGGCTCGGCATTGTTGGTAGGTGGTGGACGATAGTCAATGTTTGACACGTCTCTCCACCTCTTCAGTTTCATCTACCTTCCTTCAGGGCAGGTCCAACGCCTTCTTACTCTTATCATAAACAACATAAGTAATACTCACAGCCGGCACAACCTTGAGTAAGTTTGGCGTTAGACCCTTGAAAAGCCCCCTCATTCCCTCGCCCTTGATAGTCTGCCTTGTCACGTCCATGATTCCCGTGTATGTTCGTGGATGCAGGACAGTGCCTTGACTCTGTAGCCGGGTTCGCAAGAGGTTAAGTGGATAGACTGCACTAGCACCAAACGCCCCAGAAAAGCCGCCAATAGCTGCCGTCATGAAGCCTCCCGGCTCAGCGTCTTGTTCATGGCAGCCAAGGCGTTTAGCGTTGCGGCGCGCGACGTAGCGTTTGAGATACTCAAAGGTACCCAGATCGAGGGCCGCGTAGGGAAAGATGCCCACGATACCCATGGGGAGTCCGCGGTAATATGCGGCCACGCCCCCAGCATTCCACATCTTCTTCGCCGTGGCCCAGATCAGGCGGTTGCCGTGGAGGCCGCCGGAGACGGTTTCGCATTGCATGCGGAACTTCAACGTGTCGATGGGATATACGGCGAATTGTGAGACCATTCCTACGAGCGCGTTAAATGTGTGCATGTTAGATCATGACGTGGAAGAACGCACCAGCTAGACCACCAGCAACGAATTTCGACCAGGAATGTATTATGGCGGGGTCATTATGGCCTTCGATCTTGGCAAAGACGCGTTTCGCAGCCTGCGCGAGTTAGGGGAAGCGTTTGGTTCACTTGATTATACTTGCCTCGTAAGAACCAAATTTGATGGCCGATTCAGGCATCACCTTGACGACATTCAACCCGTTTCCTATTGCGCTTGTCAGAACCCGCGAGCAAGACATGTCAATATAGACTCACCAGCATACAAGCTGCGCATACCGCCAGCCTGCCATAGCTCCCTGGTGGCCGTCGCAAGTGGCCTCCAAGCATTCATAACAGCTTTGATGATATTGCCATGCTTCGCAGCGACGACGGCTTCCTCCGCCACACTGGTCTGGGCGATGAGGTAGACTTTCAAACGATCGAGCGGAGCAGTCGAGGTGCGAGAAACAATGCCTGCAACGCCTCCCGCCACGAAATAGCCTGGATTGGGAACACAAGCAATCAGCATGGTTCCTAAGCTCTCTATAAGTTTTGCCGGTATCTCTTCAATGGAAGAAGAAGCGCTGCTCTTGTCGGCTTCAGACCGTGGCGGGAGGGCACCTGCACCTTGGTAGACCATCGTTGAAGGTGTTGAAGCCATTCCTCCGAGCGGTGCGCTAGCCTCTGGAAGGGGATTGTAGGGCGGTGTGTGCGCTACAATGAAAAGGGAACCAAAGAAAAAACGAAGAAAACGCTGTGTAGTACCTAGGCCTTGGATTGTGTCGTCACTGATGAGAACGTCGCCTTCCTGGTTGACCTTCATAGTGGCGGAAAAATACGACATTACGGCGTGGAGCGATGGCGCGCTGACCGGAATGAAGAGAAGAAAGTCCCTTTAGCAGTCAGTACGGTGTCGTGAAAGTTCGTTACGATGCCTGTGCGCATCGCGAGACCGTTTCATGGTGTAGCTCAAACAGCGATCCAACAACCGTATAGTCTTGGGATGTTCACGCTTCCACCATGTCATCTCATGGTCCAGACTCGGACGCGCAAGTCGACGTGTGATGATCGAACTGACTGAGTACGTACCGCCATTCTTCAAAACTAATGGTCCCGTCATTATTGGTATCCACTTCGGAAAAGAATTTGTCGAGGTTGCTATTGGGAACAGCAAGTCCGGCAGTCCGCAAAGCCGAGCGCAGCTCATCTTTGGAGATCCTGCCGTCGCGATTGTAGTCGATGGTCTGGAATAGGTGGTAGAGCTCCTTTTCGGTTTCGTGTACGAACTTGCGGAATTCTGGGCAGTAGTGTCAGTATGTCTTTGCTTTGAACAAGAGGAAGGCACCCACCCTGCTCTGTGATTCTCCCGTTCCCATCGATATCCACAGCCTGCATTACCTCATTGAGGAGCTGGTCCGCATTTTTCAAGGCTACAGCGTTGTTGTCAGCGACGGAAACTCGGCGCGCGCCGTCCTCTCTTACGATGGTCCAGCTTTCGCAGCCCCTTCTTGAGGCCTGCGAGGTCAAGGTGGCCCTGTTTGCGCGTGTCGAGTGTTGACCATAATTCGTCCACCCTGGCGTCGGCAACGCTTGCGCTCTTTGTGTCCATGTTCGTCCTGCTATCTCCGGTCTATCATGGCTGAGGGTCGCGACACACACGGGAGGGCGACTATCGGCACCGGGCGAGGTGAATTGCGAGGAGAATGGCTAAGCTGTCAAGGAGACAGGCTCGTACAGGCTTCGACGTGGGGTATGAGGTCAGTCTCAAAGCTTGGAGAGGGCGGCTGAAAGGGGTTAGCGGGGCATGCCGCAACACCGAGGGAAGCCACGACAGGAGCCTAACATTCGCTCGCTCCTGATTGGACGCGACATTGCAACACCATCCTTCTTTCCACGCTTCACGTCTCGTGCGATCGTCCTGCGTCCAGGTGTCGTTCGACTATGCATTGAAATAGTTCTTCTCCGGTCGCCGTGTATCCGGCCTTTACTGGTCCGCTGGCATCTTGCTTCTTCGAACGATATCGGAGTTCCAGCCTGCTGGCACCGCTTTCGACACCAAAGCGACATCTGAGAGCGCTGTTAGATCACCTGAAAATTAGGGAAGAAAATAAAGCCGTTCTTTGAGGAATCCAGTGACTTCGGCTTCCTGTCATATCTCGGCGTACAGCAGGCGCCAGTTTACTCAGCCCATCATGTCTTCAAGCTATTGGGAGTCAACCCAACGCAAGTTCTGGACTTTTACGAAACAAGAGCTAGCACTGGAGCGGAAGAGAATGGAAGATGCAGAACGCAATCTGGTCAACCTATATCCTCTGCCAGACCGGAGGCATATGAGCATCTACTTCTCTCATCGTACGTAACGTGACACGTTGATCCAGGTGTATGCTGACATGTCCTAGAACTCTCCAAAATGGCAAGACCGCTAGGAATTCGACAGCAAGCTCTGGCTACCGCACAAGTGTATGTCCGACGATTCTATGCCAAGGTCGAGATCCGGAGGACGAACCCAGCGCTCGTGCTGGCAACAGCACTGTACTTGGCGTGTAAGATGGAAGAGTGTCCGCAGCACATTAGAATGGTATTGGCAGAGGCGCGGCACTGTTGGGGTAAGTCGCGGAATGTAAGAACAAAACACGATTCTGACAAAGACAGACACATCATTCAACGACGTTTCCAAAATCGGCGAGTGCGAATTTACACTCATCTCTGAGATGAACTCTCAACTAATCCTCCACCACCCATACCGCAGCCTCGCTGAACTCCAGACTCAATTCCAACTGACCCAAGAAGAAAATGCCCTGGCATGGTCAATCATCAACGATCACTACCTGACAGATCTTCCGCTTCTCCACGCACCACATGTTATCGCCATAACAGCGATGTTCTTGGCAGTCGTTCTCAAGCCCATCGGCTCCCAGGTCAATGCAGCCGGGATGAACAACGCACTGCAGACGCTGGGCAATGCACGTGGTGGACAAGGGATGCAGGCACGAATACAGAAACTAGTCGATTGGCTTGCTGAAAGTAGTGTAGATATCGAGGCTGTTGTGGAGTGCACGCAGGAGCTGATCTCATTGTACGAAGTTTGGGAGACTTATACCGATAAAACATGCAAAGACCAGATTGCAAAATTTGTCAAGGCGAGAGGTTTGGACAAGTAACATCTTGGTTCTAGCTAAACCTGTATCGAGAGCTCGTTTTTGATAAGTTGAACCTGTTGCACAAGAAGTAGCATGGGAGTACACAACATGACTTATTTAATTCAGTCGTAACGTACAAGTCGATGCATCCTTAGCGTAAGCTGTATTATTTGGAGGTGTGACTTTAAAGAAAAACCCGAGCCCCTCCGTAGACTCTTCCAAGATGATTAGATATGATATTTGGGCGTCAGCAGCTCGGCGGTCCTATCACGTAGCAATGCACGGTACACCAAACGCTTGACAGCGTCGTCTTCAAAGACTTCATACCGATGAAACAGCATCAGGGACAGACATTGCCCATTCGTCACGACGAGCATGCGCCACAAAGTCGCAGCATGGCTGTCCCAACAATCACTCCACTGTGCCACCGCGAGCTGCCGGCTCCTCTGTCGGCGTGCTTTGGCGTGCTTATCATGGTGTCAGCACTCTAAAGCAGCAAGCAGCCTTACAGTATCAGCATGAACCATGCATCAATGCAGCACTTGGCCTAAATTCGAATATATTGATTCAGCTCGCGTCCACTTGCTCATCCCACGGGGTGGGGAGAGACAATCAAATGAGTCTGTTTCGAGCCAAGGGCGATTCTTCATGCGACAAAGCTTGGCCCGTCGCAGGAACGTTTGCGCGGCATGGATGTCACGGCACTCGAGGATGATTCATGGCTGGCTTGATCAGCTCACGATGGCCGTCACCGAGGGCCCCCAACAACAGTAACAGGACGACATCACACGAAGATGGAGTGACGACAGGAGCTGCTGCTAAGGATTGTCGATCACTGGACAGGCCGTCGAGCGTCCGGGCCGGGGAGAACGAGTGCAGAAGCGCTATTTTGGTCTCACGTAGTGGCTGATTTCTATTGGCCATGGCGCTATATCCTGGTCGTCGGGACGTCACACAGGGTGAGGTCCGGGCATGTTCGGAAACACTGACGGGTGGAAAACGTCTCGCATGGCCGTGGGCGTTTAGACGTTGCTGTCGGAGGCGCAACGGCAGCAGGATGTTCGCATGGAATGGCGCTGCTCATATGATGGTCATGGTGGTCGCGGGTGGGCGAGCTGGTCTCGCAGCATGGGCTCAACAAGTTTCCCATGGGCATCCGGGTGCGCAGCGCTGGCGGCATTCCAGAACATGGGCAATGCGCTCATAATGGTAGCGATTTGCGGGCGCCGTCGGCAGGGACTCGGCCGCCACGAGCGAATCCTGGCATGCGCTCAACCACGGTGTCAAGCTGCTGCTGGCCGTCGCAGGCACAGCTGCGTTAGCGCTCCAACGCGCCAGCGCTCGCGGCCTCACTCCAGCACGTCTTGGGGACTTGGACTTGCGATGCGGCCGCCCTTGCCGACGCTGGACAAGTGGTCGTGTCCTGGCCGGGAAGACTACCTGCATTCCCCTGGCGACGGTAGAGGTGCGGAAGAAGCGGTCAGGGCGCAGACACTGTGGGTGGTCACTTGCCAGCCAGCTCACAGCCTCGCTGGGCTGGCAGCTGTTAGCGTCGTGTGTGTCGCATAAGGGCTGTTTGACGATGCGCCGCCGGCTGGGGTTTACTTTTTGCGCGCGCATCCCCATGGAATGGCCATGTATCGAGGGAACTAGGAGAGGGCGATAGGCATGGCCGACTATTGAACCAGGCTTGTCTGATACTCGATGGATGGACATCGATGCCCTCGGGAGGCGATCCGTCTGCGCACGCTGGCGGCGCGCCTTTGACTATGCAGCGCAAGCGTTCCAAAGGCCCTAGCGCAGGCTCCCCTGCTGAGCTAGAGCGCATCGGTCCAAGGAGGCGTGGTGGCGAATTGGCGCAATGAAGCCAGCCAATGACACGCTATCGCTTGTGTCGGTCGACGCGCTCGGGCCACCCACCCATCCATCTGACCCAGCCTGTTCTTCTCCAGCCCTCTCGCTCCTCTTGTTCCTCGCACTTCTGCACCAGCGTTCTCAACCACATCTCTCAGCCTCGCATCGCAATACTATTAAATAATACTCTACGCACCCGCACCGCTCCCGCCTCCCTTTGCATCCACCCTGCATCCCCGACAACCGCCATCCTTCGAGCTATACCCCTTTGTTTCGCCTTTGTTGTGGTCGAGCTCCCTGGATTACAACGCAACCCCTCCTCTCACACAACAGTCATCCCATCCACCACCTCCACCACAACAACAACCAACCATGTCGCAATTCTTCAACTACGGTGCCCAGCAGCACCACGCCCAACATCTCAACGCCCACTCGCACAACCACCACGGCGGCCGATCGCGGAGGGCGCCCCGGATCTCGGCTCAGCAGCACAACAAGCAGTTCCGCCAAGTCCGCACCCCCAAGGAATTCAACGTCGAGCCCCCCACCCTCATCGCATACAAGCGCGACTTCGAGGCTGCCAGGTCATTCGACATCGAGGACGATGAGATGTTCTGCCCCTTCCACCTGCTCACCGAGGATGATGTAAGTCGCCAATATTTGCCACCCGTCATCGAATCCGCCCAAGCAGGCGCTGACACTCGATGAACAGTTGCAATCCATCCACTCTTCCGGCTCAGACCGCTCCTCGCTGTCGAGCGGCTCGCCCGAGCAGTCGCCTCTCCAGCACCAGCTGCAGCCAACCCCCTCTTTTGTCCTGTCCTCAGCGGGACCCAACCCCTACACCCCTGTCGGTTTCCAACAGAACAACTCGCAAACCAAGCTACACCAGCCACTAGCCCAGCGTACACGCAATGCCATCCCCATTGTTGACCCCTCGACACGAGCTGTTGCCAGCCCACCTCCCTCTGTCTCCCCCAACCGACAGATGCAGCAACAGTTCATGTCGCGACGCTGGTAGAGTCTTGCAGGCACGAGGCCAAGCGTCTTTTGTTCGGTCAACAACTGCGGCGTTATGTGTTGCTAGGCTAGTGGGCTACCTGGATCTCTAATCCTCCTTCACCATGTCCACACTGTATAAATCTACGATATCTTCTTCGACATATCTTGGGTATACCACTTGAACTCGGCGACGGCGTTGCAATTGTCAGCGAAAAAACAAAACCACATATCATTTTACCGGATAGAAGCGCTTTGGTTCTCGATTGCTTTCAAGCGTTGAAAGCGCTAACGCATTAACGGCGGTTTGCACATACAACGGTGTTTTCTGGGTCTGTTCACGCATTTCTGGCTATTGCTATCTGTTTTTTCAAACACCTTGAAAAACTTGAGGTAGATTTCCTATGTCGCTGGTTGGTTCTCTCTTCGGGTTTCAAGCGGAGCGGTGTTGGTATATACCATTTGTTTGGGCGCCCTATAACTTGCGAAAGCGACGGTGTCTAAGCGTACATGTTGGTGGGTCATCAGTCACGGTGTTGTCTTGGGGTTCGTTCGCCTTGTCGCGTTACTTTGTACGACGACGCTGGGATGATTCTACGCAATCAGGCGCTGGTGTCTCTTTTCCTATCTTCTCTGCTTGTTTTTGGTTTCTTTGTACGAGGATTTATACGACGACACCCGGTGTGGTTGGCGATCTCTTCTTGGATGTTTTTCTCTCTCTCTCCTTCCGTCGGGAGCTCTGTTCTCCCTCTTATATCTACACGCCTCGCAACTTTTACGTTCGAGGGCAGTGAATATCCTAGGAAAGGAATACACGCAACTTACTCATTGACCAAATCTCCAAATCCACTGCTAGCGCTCTACTTGTCATTGCATGTCGTGTGAAAGCTCTCCACCAAACTGATAGAAGATGGGTCCCCAACACACCTTGAGCTGAGCTGAGCTGACCCCGCACGCCACGCAATGTCACCTGGGCATGCACTTGGGAAAGCTTTCCCAGGGACCAAACTGACTAAAAAACCTCCACCCACACCAAGCTCGGGGATTGCCCATGCCATGCCAGGTACTCCCCTCCCCCTCTCTCTCCATGCGGACGGACGAACCCAGGGGGAGAGGAAACGAATGCAGGCTAGTTCAAGGGGGAAGCTGTGCCGACCTGTGGCCTGTTCTCTTTGGCGGTAGTTTAGTGGTAAACTTAGCTTTAGGGAGCTGTCACGAGGGAGCAAGCGGCGGGCTATTGCTATGTAGATCAGGTTTTGGTGCCATATAGCCATTTCTAGACCCGATTCCGAAGAGGGAGGCAAAACGGGTGTTTTTGGGGCAACGGTGGTTGGCTAATTCGGGGGATGTTGGTGTGTGCTAATATTAGTAGTGTATTTGTTTCCCCTTCCCCCTCACCATTTCGTTCCTCTTGGCGTGGATGCATGATGGATAGATGGGATGTTCATTCGAGCTCTTTATGTTAGTCCTGACTTGTGTGGAATGCTTGGTCATGTGAAATTTGATTGGGGTTGGAAGGTGGTCTGATTTGGAGGTTTTGCTTTCTTTCTTTTTTTCTCTGAGAAAAAGGAACGAAACCTTAGGCTTGGTGACGGGTTGCGAGGTTGAGTGGATGGTAGAATGGATGTTATATTGTGGCGAGGGTGTGAGAGGAGGGAGGGTTGGTGGTAGAAGAGAAAGAGAGTGGGTAGGAGGATGGCGAGACGTTCTACGAATCTGGTGTTCTGAAAAAGGAGGTGTAAGTATTTGATAGCGAGATGGTAGACTGATGTCAAGAGCGAGATTGAAGGCTATAGAACTCATGTCTCTATCGTCGGTACGTGTGAAGAATTCGACATGTGTAGGAATATGAATAGATATTCTGATTGATATGATGGACGTGCTGGTGATAAGACGCAGGCACAACGCTGTTGAGTTACACTGTATTGTATCGCAGTAGAAGTGTGTTCCCAAATACTCACTTGGCTTCACTATATGCAGCTGTATATATACTCTTTTGATAGATCTTCCGATGTACCTTCTTCTACAGGTAGTGTTTCTGTGTTGCTCGCAGCGACATTCTAGAAAGGTCCTTGGAGTAGCCACCGTAGTTAACAGGAGAATGAATGGCAAGAGGTAGCAGAAGCTGGAGCTCTTGTAATTTGCGGATAAGAGAAGAAAAGACCGACAACGTAGATTGTATCCTTCTCAGCAAGATCAAGTAGATTCTATTACTAAAGCGACACTTGACACAATAATTATAGGAAATCTTTCATCACTCGAAGAGCTTGTGCATGTTAGCCGTGACTACACCCACTGCACTCTTATTTAGCATCGATCTGCACGCATTGCGTACGATCTTCTCTGTCATCCCCTCACTCGCGCTGAATGGGAATGCGGAAATTATACACGGGCACTTTTGCCTGAGAAGAGTACCTTGGTATGTGCTGAATCCTGCACACTCAAACAAAGAGGTCCGACTCGCATGTACCTCGCTATATGTCATGCTCGGTGTTTCGGTTCTTATGTCGACGGGCCTGCTCACGCGCCGACACGCATATCTCTATTGGACATGTTCTGTACTCTCGAGACCCAAATTTCCATCTCACATCCCACCAAACTCTTTCCTAATCAGGCAGTCCGTCGAAAGGTGTGGATCACGGTTTCACTATTACTCTGCTACAACACGCCTATACCGCTACTCTTCCGCTTGGACCTCAATCACCACAGTGCTGACCATGGTGGAAACTTTCGTAGATGGCTTCCTCGTTGCTTTTTGACGAACTGGACCAGATCTCACGGGGCTAGCTGTTCGCCGCGATGAGTTCTCCGGCATCAACCGTCGTGCTATCCAGCGCGCTCTCCGCCGATCAGAAGCCACCTGGACCAGCTGGATTTCTCGGAAACACCGTCGTCAACCACAGCATCTCGCTAGATCTCTGGTTTACCCACGCAGTCAGATTCAATGACCATGACGGCAGTGCCGACGTAGAATTAGGGTACCGAAGCGTAATGCACACAGCCACCGGGTTCGTGGTCTGTGCATTCCTATCTTCGCTTTGATACGGTGGGTACAAAAAAGGTTAGCAGATATCGGGGACAGCGACGGCATAATCGACCATACTGTGGTATAAGGGCACATAACTCAAAGCTGTAAACGGCTACTGGTGCCGTGTGCTGGAGTTGAGGGGCGGGCGCGGAGAGAGCAAGTTCATCAGAGCCTCTCTGGGTCTAGGCCTCATCCAGCTGTCGCAAGAGCATGACTAATGAGGCTCCGTCGAGCGACTGACAGGACTCGGCCAATTGTTGTAATGATGATTGCCGACTGGGGAAAGGATGACGTCGTTGGGTGAAGCTAGTCACGTCCACTAACCGAGGAACGTGTGTTTTCTCCAGCAAACCAACCCTTCCTCCTGCAATCGTCATCTGCCAGCTTTTTCTACACTTCTGAGGTTCCTCATCAATTCAATTGATTTCTTCCCGTTGAAATACACCCACGGAACGAATAATACGTGCAGCTAGAGCTCCGAGCTACACCGCCGAAACCCCGCAAACTACTACTCCCTCCACGTAAACACCTCCCACGAAACTAGCCATGTCCGCCATCCGTGCCTTCGCAACCCGTCGCGCTCCCGTCGCCTTTGTCCAGCGTGCGGCCTTCTCCCAGTCAATAGCCCGCACCGCCGGCAAGGAGTCAACTCTCCGTACGTCCGCACCGACAACCTCGGCCCAGCATCCAGCACCATGACGCTGAATGCGTGCCAACTGTACACTAAGAGAGAGAGAACCAGAGCTGACACAATCGAACAGATTCTGAGAACCGTGCTGAGGAGGTTGAGAAGAAGAAGCAGGAGCAGCTGAACAAGCAAAAGCAGGGCAAGGGTTCTTGGGAGGAGCAGCTTGCCAGTGACAGCGAGAGCGCTGTAAGTTGAATACACCGCCCTAAACCCATGGCACAATTGGATTGTGAGGGCACTGGCTAACGCAAAGGACAGGTCAAGGCGGATCGTTCCGAGACCGGCAAGGACACCAAGCAGCAGATCAAGGAGTTGCAGGAGGAGGCGAAGAAGGTCGGCCAGTAAACGAAGCGGAGAGGACGACAAAGTCCGACATGTGAGATAACTTCTCCGCTGGCTACAAGGAGACGCCGGGCGCCAGAGCTCCGTGGCTTATGTCGGGTCGGGAGCGCTGGAAGGGAGGCGGGACGAAAGCACGATGAGCTGTCTTGCAATACCCAAATGAAAACATCTACTTCAGCCAAACTTCACAAGTGGCCTCTGTTTTGAATTATCAACATTGCTGTTTCTACAACCATTTTGACTTTTCCCCAGAATTAGCTGACGTCTGTTCCAGACCGCCATCCACCTCCATGCTCACACCAAAGCTAATCAACTTGCTACGACCCACTGTCTTCCTCCAAAACGAACAACACATACCGCGTGCACCGCCAAACGCATTCAGCAGTCGAGATTGAGCATACAGTTCTATTACTAGCCAACAAAGAAGAAAGGTAAAAATACAATCTATCGACCGTCGCTTCTAAAACACCAGAACGATGAGATCTACCCCATCCCACCATGTCTAAAACCTACACAACTTGCCACTATCAAGATCATACTCCCACCTCTCCGTCCCCACTCCCGAAAGCACATACAAACTCTCGCTAGGATCATACTTGCTCTTGACCTCCCTCAACGCCTCGTAGTTGCTGCCGTAAAACGCTTGCTGGAACGTAGGCATAAATGGGTTCGCCTCGTTCATGTACGCACCAGAACCCGGCGCCCACTTCTCCCACATGGGCTCTTTAACCTTGGCATGCCAGTCTGCGCCAATCTGCAGCGCCTTCTTCGCAGACCCGGCGGCCTTGGAATCGACAGTCGCGCCCGTGGCGATGAAGTGAAGGTATGCGCGCCGCCAGCCAGGGTGTAAAGCGCCCCAGTGTGCAGACGGGGTGGAGTGCACGCCGGGACCGCCGCTGAGGCCAATGGTGGCGTAGTTACCCGGGTCGGTGGTATTTTGACTCGCCATTGCGGTTTTCAGGTAGGAAACAACTTGTTCGTGAGAGGTGTGGGTGAGTTCTGGGCGGCCGAGGAGCCGGGATGAGGTTAGGGATTCGCCGCCTGCCACATTGTCGCCGGATATGACGCTGAAGAAGGCGGTGTAGTTTGCAAAGTGTGAAGCTGTCATTGATGTCGAGACAAGGGAGGTGTTTGTGCTGGTGTTGTTTGTGTTGGATGCGAGGATCTTGGACAAGACGGGTTGGACGAGGGCTTGTACGGCGGCGGGCGTGGTGTTGAAAGCCCAGAAGACTTGGTTGAGCCCGATGCCAGTGAATGGGCCGTTTGATACGTCCATGTTTGGGAAGAACTTTGGTGCCGTGCTTCCTACTGCTACGGTGGCCGCGCCCGAGAGTCCGACGTCCATGAGGTCGGGGAGCGCGCTGAGCCAACTGGCTGCTGCTGACCATGATGCGTCCATACTGGCATTCGAACTACCCTGGGGCGTTATCTGGACACTTGCCATGACGACGTTACTGGGTGCTGGATGGTGCTTGATGACGTACTCGGTAACGACGCCATATTGTCCTGCACCACCGCCACGGAGTGCCCAGAAGAGATCTTGGTTCTGGACTTCATTCGCGACAAGAACGTGTCCGGTGGTTGTCACGACGGTCACCTGGCGCACTTGGGCTGATGCAAGGCCGTAGGTAGGAGCCAACGGACCGTGACCGCCGCCTTGAATGTAGCCGCCCAGCCCAACACTGGGGTCCTGGCCTGTTGTTACGACACGGCCTTGGCTTGTCGCGAACTTGAGGACGTTGCCCCATTGTTGGCCACTGCCGACTATGAAGACGTCTTCAGCTGGCGAAGAGCTGTTTGCGGCACGCCAGGCTGTGTCGCGAGTCAAGTTGCGGAAGTATCGGGTCCAGATGGAGAGGGAGAAAGCACCACTTGAGCTACACGGGTATTGTTAGCTTTCTGCTCTGAATACATTTGGATAACATATACTTACCGCCCGTTAAGGTCATGGCCTGTTCCCTTGACAACAATCCGAATGTTACGATCAGCAGCCCATTTCATCGCAGCTGCGACATCAACCTCCTTCGTTGAGTTGACAATGTACTGCGGCAGAGCACCGATCTTGCATCCCTGCTTCTGCGTCCAACTTCCGGATTCGTCTGGCAAACAAGAGTTGTTTGCATACAGTTGGTAGTCAATTGACTCGGGAAGTTGGGAGTGCCAGGTCCCGTTTGTCCATTTATCGTTGACTTCCTGGCAAGAGCGAGGGGAAGGAGAGGCAAAGGTGCCATTGGCGTCGGGCCAGCAGGACGATGCAACAGGCACAGTACGTATCAAAGACCCGCCGATCGTTTCGTTTAGAGAAGACCATTCAGAAAGTGTAGGCCATGATGCATCCGAGGGTGTTGAACGACAGAATGGTGGTGTTGCTGCTGCACTTGCGAGAGCGGGAGCTGCGAGAATGAGGGATCGCAACATGCTGGATTGTCGAACGGCAAAACAAGCAAATGAGCGACTGATGTGACACCTTGAAACGTATAGGGTATCAACATATTTATGTGATGTCGAGATTTGGCTGAGAGTCATTTTCGTATAACTGCTCTTTCTCGTATTCTCTCTCTTTTCGTATTCTGAGGTTCTGGCGGACTTTGCCACGGTGGATATGTCAAAGCGCATGACGCGAAAGCCACTTGTTTGCTCTAGCTTTTTCTCTAGCTTGCGCGTCGTACCAAACAATTTGGAGAAGAAGGGGTTAAATGAACGGTTAGCTGGTTATCTGTTGTGGCGCAGTGCGTAATGCCATAAAGCATCAACGTGACGATGCCGAAGATGGCCGTGGATCAAGTCCTGTGTGTATACGGCATATCTCGTTGATGAGTACCTCTGCGCAAGTATACAATACGTCTTGCAGAAAGTGTTAGTATATACCGGTACATCGGCGTTAATTCGATGAATTGAGAAACGCAATCTCTTTCTCCACGTGCAACTTGAGAGATCTCCTCTAATAGCCTCATCCTCATCAAAACAAGATACACTTGCAATCTACTGAGTGTCTATCCACCACTCATGCAAATGACTCTACCACTCGAGCTTGTCAGTCTGACATTTCAGATCGCACAAGAAAGCCTCGTCTTCATGTACCCGTGTTGCCGAATCTGGCAAAACCTGCCGAGCAGGCCATATCTCGCGACCCAGCTGCCTTTCGCGCTCATGATGCTGCCGAACAAGGTTGCGCACAGTTTTCTGGACGAACAACGGCCCCTTCTCCATTCTTGCATGCATCTCGCCACTAACGTAGACACCTGCAGCGTAGTTCTTCTGCGTGTTGAGGCATAGCCACTTGTCTTCGTTGAGTACCCGCTTGTACATGGAATCAATGGCTTCGAACTCCGCGTCGGAGGCGTCCTTGTGTCGATAGACTTCGTACTCCATGGAGCAATGAGTGGCTGACGTAGGCACGCACCTCATCATGTAAAAGAAGAAAGGTCTACTCTCGGTCAGTCGACTGTGATAGAGCTCACGATCTCTCCATTCGTCCACTCACGTCACTGTCATGCAGGCATTAGGGAAATAATATGTGCTGCGGACCCTTTGTCCCTCGTCCATGGCTATATTCTCCGCATTGGTGAAGTGCTGAATATGCCCCCCTTGAGTGCTGACCGCGTATAGTTTCAGATCGGTGATACCAGCTACATCCGGGTGAGCTGTCGGACAATGATAGCACTCATTGTAATTATCAGCTAACGCCTTCCAATTGTAATCGCCACCCATCTCCCACGTATGGTCGAACCGGTAATCATCAAAGTTGAAACTGTCCATCCGAGGCTGCGTGTCAACTCCTTCGAAGTCATCTTCCCATGCCACCTCCCTTGCAACATCCATGTTTACCCATATGAATCCCTTTTGATCAATATGAACGCTCATTGGGAACAACCCATTCTGCGTCTTGTCGAATCCCTCCATCTCTTCATAACCAGGCGCTTTTGCTAGATTACCCTTCAACCCGTATGACCACCCGTGGTATTTGCAGGACAAGATCTTCACTCGCCCTGCAGGTTCGGTAACGACGGGGAATGCTCGATGTCGGCAGACGTTGTGGAAGCCATTGATATCGCCATCGCGATCTCGGGACAGGAAGAAGCGGAAGCCTGCCTCTTCAAATTGCACGTAATCCCCAGCAGTCGGGATCCTGTGCTTGTGTGTAACCAAAATCCATCTCTTCGAAAAGATGGCCCGCCTTTCAAGCTGATAGATAGCGTCGGACGTGTACCACGACGATGGTAAACTGCGTGATGTATTGGTGGGTCGCGTCTCGCTTTCCGCGTCTTTGTAGCCCAGGAGTTTCCAGAGATATTGACTCATGATAGGCATAAGGGTCGTTATCAACCGTCTTGACCTCACGGTCATGACTGCGCTGAATCCATTGCAACATCCCATATACCCCTCGATACTGCCCAGGTGTGTTATCGGGACAAGAGACACGTCGTTAGAAGGCCGCTCACGTGGCTCTGCCGTTCCGGTCAGGTGATCGGAGAATCATGGTCTTGGCCCCGGTCTCCGGCCTTGGATTCGCCCAGGAAGTGATGAACACGACAATCAATGGCCTGGCTTGGTTATCGCAGCAGCTTGTTTTCCGTACACGCATGGTAGCTAGGCAATGCTTAATCTTATCTCTGTAGGTCTGTGCGCGATCGTGCTGCCGGCAGCGGACACCGGCCGGGTTGTGGGCTTCCTGACACTGCACGATGTGAACCGTTCAACGTAAATCGTCTAGATGGCAGAAATCCGGCGAAGCAGCCGACACACCCCATATACTACTAAGAAGCGCGCAAGACAGGCTTGCGAAAATTGCCGGTACGTGCGTACGGAGAGATTACGGTCCCCACAGACTTCCGCAACTGACACGAGTGCAAGTCGCAAGAAGTCAAAGTGCACCGGGGAAAGACCCGACTGTTCTTGTTGTGTACGACTTCGACAAAGATGTGTCTATGCCACTCAATACCGAACTCGTGAACGGTCTATCGGACCTCACGATGTCCCTCATATGGCTGGCACCAATAATGTAATGCATGCCAATCACATCTCCCTGTGCAATGCTCATCCCTCTCTAGTCCAGGCATCTAGACACGATTCAAGATCTGCTGAGGAAACTTGCCGCCACGATTGAGTATGCTCGCTACTCCGCGTCTCTCGATGAGGACTGACGATCTTAGCATACAGCGATCAATTGAATCAGCCCAACCTTCCATCGACCATGGCCGAGATGATGACCCTGCGACAGCGCGAAGCTCGCAAGAACCTGCAATTGAACTTCCACTAACGCCTCTCACTGCACGACAATCTCCCTATGCACAGTAAGGGCTTGTACCTATCACTACAATGACTGAACACTGATAATCCGGTAGTATGAAAGACGCGCAACTACCAGACTCAGTCATATCGGAGGGTATCGCGCTATACTTTTCAGAGTTTTGCAATCAGCCATGTCCCATCCTGGCTTCCTCTCAGACCCTCGGATCTAGTGAAGATGACTTGTTACCTCCGATGATTCTATATGCTATGCTCGCTCTGAGCTTACGCTCATCCCGGCACCCGTTTCTCAGCAACAGATCCGAAAGAATGAGATGTATAGCGAGAATGACAAAACTTTCGTGGAATCTTATCGCGAAGGCATACTGTGACTTTGCGATTGATGATGTATACTTCCAGGCGCTTTGTCTCCAAGTCCAGGTGGATTCTGGAGGTGCGTCTTTATACCTATCGAACCGATTTCGTTGATATGGGCTGATGAAATCTTGTATAGACGGGAGACTAGAGAGAGCGCGAGCACAGGTGGCTTTAGGGTTGCGAGTTGCGCAAGCCCGTGATATGTTGAGTGCGGATTCGCTCTGTGGCCTTGAGCTTGCCGATCGAGCTCGCCGGCAGGAAATTATCTGGTCACTTTTCATGTTAGACCGAATGCTTCTTGGAGGAAACACAAGGAACCCTTCGACTCCTACCACAGCCTTCGAGCTCCCGGTGATCCAAAGCGGACCTTTCCACCCAGATATTCGAACGCAACCACCTGAGCATGATATCTCATTGCAGTGTGTGGATTCAGATGCGCCCCTCCCGCCGCAGAGTGTCACCTGTCTACAAATACAGACGATTAGGATCTGGGAGTGCGTCATTGATTACGTTGCACAGCCCCCTTCGGATACCGATGTGCCTCTTTGGAGACATGACTCTCCTAGAGCCGCCATCTTGACAAAACTTCTGGATATTGAGATGAGTAAGTATGTTCCTGAGCTCATGTAAGTGAAGCTAAATAGCGTTCCAGGGTGCGAAACTTCAGGACATACTTTGGCATGCATAGGATCGCCAGCTCGAGTGCTGAATGAGCCACACCTGGAAAGTTATTTTGTGGTATGGTTGCGATTTCAACTGACGCTATCTGTCGTGAACTGCACCTTGTGAGTCAAGCATGAGCTTTTGTTGTATCATCACACTGAAGTTTATACAGAAATCACCCTTTCATGATACACATCAAAACAGTACGACTCAAGCAGAAGATTCCTTTGACCTTCTTACAAAAGTCTTATGAGTTCTCTTTGATACATGCCAATTGGGTCGTCAGGCTACTCAATCATATGGATGAAGCCAGATTGATGCTTCACGACCCCTTTCTTGGTCACTTGGTCGCAATTGCAGCATCGATACACCTGGAACATACCAAGAGCCAGTATCCAACTGTAGCTGCGTCTGCGAAACAGAAATTCGAAAAATGCTCGGACTTTGTGAAAAGACTCTCGCAAGAGTGGCCGCGAATGCAAGTCACTGTACGTGCTTGCCTCACCTTTGTCAATCTAGACAAGAGAACTAACACTCGCAAGGCTTCCCTTCTCGAGCAGCTGAAGGCACGAATCCCTTATCGTTCAATTTTAAACTATGTTGAGGAAGAATACGACGGTGCAGCCCCACCCGAAGGAGCCAACCAAGTACACCTTGAGGAAGAAGACTTGCTATTGCTATGGAGGTTGTTCGACTACGCATTGACATCGCCTAAGTCAAACTCAGAGTGTGATTTTGACGAGGAGTCTAATACCGCTATGCACAGCGTACCACCGCTCTTCAACGCTTCGTCGAATGTTGCAAATAATCAATTGTCTATCAATCCGAGTCCGAGTTCATCTGCTGGTATGTTGATTCAGACAACCAGCGCAGGACTGGAAGACATTGCATTTCAGGCGTACGGTGACACATCTGTATCCGGCGGAACTGCGTTCAACTACTTTCCTGACGATATCGATTCACTTCATCCGCGATAGCACAGGCGCTGAGACGAAACAATATGCATCTTGTTCTTGTCTGTGTGTTCCATTCTCAAAGTCGAATTGGTGGCTTATCACTTTCCGACAAGTTCAAATCTTCACGCGGGTCCTACTTCGTGCCGACTTCCAAATCTGACACAGAGGACCATTCGTACCGAAGACAGGGTCGGAATCAGGGATTGGCACGTTGCTGATTTCTAGGCACAATGCATCCATGGGCTCATCGCCTTCGCAGTGGTTGTTTCGCCAACGTGGAGCCGCCTATATATAGTCAATAAGTGCTCGAACTCAATGCCAAATTTGATTCAATTCTTACTTTGGGATATACCCCGATGTACCTGAAGCCTTCCTCAGATTCAATCGATCGATGCGAAACTCCTGCCGGAATCACGATCACATCCCCTGTACGGATATTGACCTCGATGCCGTCCATAGCATCATGTTCTTTCGACCGCCCAAGAGCGAGGCGTGAGCTTCCTCGAATTATAGCTGGCAAATACACATCAGCCCAGCTGACGACTGCAACTTCGGTATTCGTACCGTAACACTCGTGAGTATTTGGATGGAAGTGTGGTATTGTTATCTCCCCCCACTCGCCCTGATACTCAGTTAGCGCGAGTACAGATACAGCAGTGAGAGGCCCGATGGTGTTGGTTACGATAGAACACCACGCGTAGTCATTATCGCCCTATGAGAAGGGTGATATATGTCTACCCCGGCACGCGCTATCCCAGGATTGGTCTAGTAAATTTGGTTCGATCATAGGGACCCGTTGTACCGCAACCATTGATACAAGCCAGTCTTGGTCAGTCACTTACACGTTTTTCCCAGCCATTCCCCTCACAAAGACGTTTTGAAAGTTCAGGGTTCACCGGAACAGGGAGAACATCTCGATATATCAGAGCTGGTAAGATGTTGTTTGGGACATGTGTAGAGCTGGAAAGAGCGTACTGCTCTGGCCAAGTAACAGCCATGGGAAGTGATTCTTTCTCAAGTGGTTGCCCGCGATTGAGGTTCTATGCGGTCGGCTGGCCAAATAAAACGGGCAATGCTGGGACGTGACAGTTAGCGCCGGAAATGGTCCGGTATCAGCTCCGTGTCACTTCCGCTCCCGTTCCCACTTCGATTCACGTCTTGTTTAGCGTGTATGACCTGACGAATACGCTCCTTCCCGATGCAGTTCAACCATAAATCTGTATTGATATATCTGCGGCATCCAGACTGCATACCATTCATCAAATTGTCAGTGTCGCCATCAAGATCTCGAATGTAAAATGCACAAAGACAGTCGGATCGTTATAATAGGCGCAGGGGTGTTTGGCTTGTCGACAGCAGTAGAGCTGGTACGCAAAGGTTACAGAAACATTACAATCGTAGATCGTCATGTACCCCCGGTAGGTAGTTTGCACAAATGGGAAAATGCCGTAGTTGACCGAAAAAAAAGGTACCCGATGGCTCTAGCGTCGACATCTCGCGAGTGATACGTTTCGACTATCGCGATCCGCTTTACGCCAAGCTTGCAAAAGAAGCGTTTGATGTCTGGCGTGATGATCCAAGGTTTCGTGGAATATTCCATCATGGTCCAAATGCCTTCATCGCAAGCAAGGCGTACGGGCGTACGCACCTCAAAAGATGCACAGATGCCCTTGACGGTCTGAATCACCCCTGGGAACCAATGCCGGATCAAGGAGCTATCAAATCTAAGTTCCCGATTCTGTACGGCGATACCGTTCACACAAATCTTTCTGGATACTGTAATCGAAGTTCTGGGTGGGCGGATGCTCAGAAGGCAATTACTGTTCTTTGCAATCAATGTATCGAGAGTGGCGTGTCTTTTGTTTGCGGCAAACAAGGCACTGTCACCGCTTTCCAGAAAGACACCATGACCCGCAGAATTGTAGCCGCACAAACTGAGAGCGGCCACGATATCCAAGGGGATCACTTCATTCTGAGTGCTGGCGCTTGGTCGACAAGCCTAGCACCCATGTACAACTCAACAATATCTACGGCACAAGTCTTAGCCTTCATCAACCTGACAGATGCTGAAATGGAAGCCTACAAAGACCTGCCGTTATACATAGACTACGATTCCGGCTGGTTTTGCTTTCCGCCCCACCCCGAAGCCCGGGTTCTGAAAATCGCTGTACATGGCTGGGGGTATACTCGAACGACGCAGCGGAACGGTGTCTCCCTCCCTCCAACAACGACTCGAAGCAAGCGGACCAATTTTGCGCCAGCAGACGGCGTCGAAAGGTTGCGTGCGGGCCTTGGAACTATCCTTCCGTCCCTTGCAGAGCGAGAGTTTGATCGTGTTGCCGTATGCTGGTACAACGACACGCCCTCTGGTAACTTCATCATCGACTACCACCCTGACCACACGAATCTGTTCCTGGCAACGGCTGGTAGTGGCCAGTAAGTGCTAACCTCTTGTAAAAATCAATACCTGAATCTGTACTGACTCTGCCCTTCCGTAGTGCATTCAAGTTCCTGCCAGTGCTGGGCAAGTACGTAGCGCAGGCATTCGAGCGCACATTGCCCTCAGGCTTGCAACAAAGATGGCGATTCAGGATGGAATACAAAGACCGCGAAGATACATTTCATGGCGACGGAAGCCGTGGGGGACCAGCGCGGCGCGAGTTTACGCAGCAGGAGAAGGCACTGCTGTGACTGAAGGTAGAGGAGTGGACTGGTTTGGGTAGACTCGCGCACCTTTCAACATTGAGAAGGTACATGCCAATATGCATTACTTCCCGTTAATTCAAACTCCCAAGTGAAGTGCACGATTTTGGAGGATGGCGAGGAAGGTCAGAGACTCTGATACCTCGCATCTGTTGACAAGGTCCAAAATCATGGCGAGCATTCTGTTACATAATGTCTCTTCGAAGCCCTTGATCCACATTTGCAGAGAGAGAGTTCGGAAAGGTTATAACAAGGTTGTATAGCTCACTCCTACGGATGCTCTCCTAAGCGAGGGAAGACATCCGTAGTAACGGCCCATGCTCTAGGTAGTGGCTGTGATCACCACCGGCCTTCTCAACAGCAGACTCTCCCTTGCCCCATATCCCATATCGTCTGCCACAATAAGTCCAATTCCAGTCCTCCCAGCGATCCTGCTCAAGTACTTCACGGTAATGGAGGCTACTTCCAGGCCACACAGCTGTTATCCTCCCCCCTTTCCCGCGTTTATCTGGAAAGTGCGTAAGTACAAGACCTCAAAATCTCTTGACTAAACAGTGGAGAAGCAAAAGGCGGACCTACACCAGCTCGTGCAATTTCCTGTCCATACAGCTCCTTTCATGAACTCCTCGACGTGCAGATTGAAATCTTCCTGTGCGCCCTTGTCCGGCGTAAACGTAGCGACGTCAAAACTGTCCACGCGCTTGAGAAGTCGTACGAAGAAATCTGCCATAGCTTCCAGACTACCTGCACGGCTATCAGTATGGACAACAGCGGCAAAACCATAAACAAAGCTTTCTACGTACCTATCAAACTACCATTCGCAACCGGGCAATTGGGGCCAAGCATAGACAAGTAATTCGGAAATCCCGCACACCCGAGCCCCATGTACGAAATCGGATCGTCCTTCCACAGATCCCTGAGATCTATTCCATTGCGACCCAATAGTGGGAACCGTGGGCGGAACGACGTGTCAAATCCCGTGGCGGCGATGATGACATCTGATGTCTCGATGCCGTCCTGCGTCTCGAGACCTTCTGGCTGGCACGTCAGGATAGGGCTGAATATACAAGTAACATTTGGTTTCTGTAGAGCTTGTAGAAATGGCTCTCCAGGACTGATTCTACGGCAGCCGAGTTCGTAATTCGGAATGAGGTTCTTGCGTAGCGAAGGGTCTGCGATACGTTCTCTCATCCACAGTTCAAGCTCTTCGCGTTTTTGTGTCTGTGTGTTCGAGTCTCGGTAGAATACAGGAAAGAGCTTGTTATAGTAGCTCTCGAGGCTCTTGCAGCGTTGGAGGTAGTCTGCAGGATTGTCGGGGTTGTTGTCGACTCCCTCGAAACTGTCGGGCAGGCTTGTGATCCAGGATGGGGTTCGGATGTATACTGAAAGTTCTTTGACGAGAGGCTGAATCTGCGGTATGACTTGCACGGCGCTCGCACCTGCTCCGATGATACTCACCCTTTTCCCCGCTAGATCGACCGAATGATCCCAGTCCGCGGTATGTATCAGACGACCTCTGTAGTTATTTAGCCCAGGTATATCGGGATACCGATAGTGGTTCAAGATTCCGGCTGCATTGATCAGGACATCGGCTTTCCTGCCCTTGTTGACAATACCATTGCATTCGGTGTTGACTAGCCATTTGCTTTCCTGCTCAGACCAGGCAGATCTTGTCACCGTTGTCTTGAACTCGATGTGATGAGCCAGGTCAAAGTGATCCACAACGTGTGATAGGTAACTTTGGATCTCCCCAGATGATGCGAATCTGCGGGCGTCAGCCAGTATTAGTCGAGAGCTGATTGCAGCGATATCGAAAGGGATCAATACGCACAATTTAGACCAATCCTTCGTGGGCGCAAAGGAGTATTGGTATATGTCACTTGATACATCGCACGCGCAGCCTGGCAAGATCAGTCATCTTCCACTAAATTTGGCTTAGGTCTTGCTCCTGCCTGGATATGTGTTTTCCAACCACGTGCCTCCAACGGCGTGATTCTTCTCCACAATCTGGAATGTATAGGCGTGCGATAAATACAATTTGAAATGATGTGCTAGTGGAAAAAAGGGGTTATTTTCTGAAACGTCTGCTTTAGCAATGACACACACCAAGTAGAATACCAGAGACGCTATTCTAGTCAGCAACAATGTTATGGAGATTCTGATATGACTGACCCAGCACCGATGATAATAATGTGGCGCTTTCCTTTCATGGTCTTCTCAACGATCTTTGTCATTTTGGTGTTGCTCGAGATTTCCAATTTGTTGGCAAGGCAGCCAGTATGTCGGCGATTAGGAATGTCCAGCACTATTCACCGGTCGCTGATCTGATGAGGCAGCCCTTCAGCTTCCATGATCTCGGTGCTCATTACAAGCGGCAGCAAACGTGGACGGACCGTATCGTACGGACCGTGTCTATTACTCAGGATGATCTTATGAAACCGTAGACGGACCGACATCCGTGAGCTCCGATCACGTGTCTCCCTTGGCATGATAACGCTCATGCTATCTCCGCCCGATGAAGCACCTTTGATAAGCAAGATTCCAGCATCTATTGGAGCGAATACAGATGGTGTTGACATCGTGGCACTTTGTCAATCGACGAGTGACTTCAAGATCCACGCAAGACATACTGAGATGTGCTTGCACAAATGGCATGGCCGTGTGGAGTTTCTGCAACTGTGAATCGATCCGATCATTCTATTTGGCTCACGTTTTCAGGCCATTCCTATAGTTCCATGTCTCCTGTACCCTTCTTGCCAGCTAAAACAAGAACATCAAATCAGCAAGCAATTCTTCAGGTCGTCGTTCTGAGACTTACCCAAGTCCGTCGATAGCGCATGTTGTAATAACAGGACAAGAGTATCCAAAGTCTCCTCGACGGAATCTCTTGGCTTAGTAGACATGAGCGGCTTCCAGTCGTTTCTGTTCAGCGGCTCATAGACGACAACATGAGCTGTGTAACACACATTTACGAGGAGATTTTCTGCCGCAGGGTCTTTCAAACTGGCAGTAGTGATGACGTCAAAGACGGAGCCATGACTGTGCTTCGCGGCGTACACTGCACGGGCATAAGCTAGAAAGAGAGGTTAGAAGCTACTGTAGCATGGGTAGGAGTATGGAAAAGTGATTGCGGCGTACATAGAATGATCTCTTTGATCCCTTTCTCCCAAAGAAGTGATTGGTATTTCTGCGTGCTCATGGCTGGAAGACTCGTTGGCGATGACTATGTACGTGAGAAGCGCAGATTAGTCTGGAACAATGCAGGGCAGGAAGCCAGAAGCTCTTGCGCGAAAAGCCTCGCTATCCCATGCCCAAATCGCAATTGTCTTCCAGTTTGTCGCTTCTATCTCATGCTTAGCCACAAACAACCACAGCAAACGCAACCCGAGTTTCGTCTTACCCCTCATTTCTTCGATGGTAGCGGAAAGACAACCGTAGAAAGGAGCTCGTTTCTCAAAAGGTCATCCTGACTAAAATGTACCCTATTAGCATCTATGTATGCTATAAGAGAGAGTGACGTACCAATGGCAGGTTGAAGATCTTCATCCTCAATGGTGGCGCAGTGTGTAATGTGACCAAGCAGCAGCGCGGTATGATAAAATCTGTCGTTTATATTCCGACAAAGTCGTCCCGCAACCAATGACTGTACATGAAAGTTTTTCCATTTTCCTCATGTCCTGATCCACAACAGATCTACTCGGTCATCATTCATCCCGCGATACTTAATCATACACCCCACCATCACATCATCTTCCCCCTCTTGCGCCTATGCACAACCCACCTCCTCCCAACATCATAAACCGCCCTCGTCCAACTCCTCGTAATAATCTTCCCCTCAAACGTCCCACTAACCCAACTAAACAGCACCAACAACGCCACACTCCCCCCAAAAATGATGCCAAACGCCTGCCAATAACTCCTCATCTCAAACTCCATCTCCTTGAACTGAATGCTAAAGTAGCCAGTCATCAACGTAACGGGTGTAAACAAGATTGTGATCTTAGCCAAGAGGAGAGTAACCCAGGTGAGGCGCTCAACGGAGAAGGACTCCTTGATGGCGATGAGGTTAAAGTTCATCATTACAAGAGATTCTTTTTGGTCGAGACATTCGTTGATTTCGCTGAGGGCATAGAGTAGGATTCTATCTTTCAAACGCTCAAAGCGAACGCGTGCCGCAGAGCTGAGTGCTACGCCAAGCAAACTATCAGCTTCCGGGACAAGAGGGCCAGGCGAATCGTTTATCACAGGGTGGGAGGACACCAGTGAAGCGTTTCCCGGAAGGATGTGCGAGTTCTTGAGGGATGCCAAGGTAGCTTCTTGTTTCTTGAGTACGCGTTCGATGATGAGTTCGTAGGAATGGTATACGCGTTTTAGGACGGCGAGTTGGCAGCCAATGTGGTGGAGTTGGTCGACGTGGGTGAGGTTGGCTGTTTGAAGCATCTCTTGGCGGAGGCGGTCGAGTTCGGCGGCGTATCCATGTTCGCGACGTGATATGAGGTCAAATGTCGCACCCCAGTCTTCGAAGAGATAGTAGAAGAGAAGTCCAGGGGCGTCTGTGGGGCGATGCGCTGTTTCTTCGTCGCTGCTGCCGAGGCGTTGGCGGATGGGTAGCTGGGTGAGCGCTGTGTCTCTAAGCGGCGTGGGTGCTTTGGTCAGCTGTCTAAACACATTCACGAGGTTGCGACGGGTTGTAAAGAGGGTCTTGAGGTCTTCTTTGTTCAATGCGCCCGTGGCGAAGGGGAACGGGTCTTCGGAGATCGAGATGACGGTTTTGTCCTCGCATAAGAGGAGCCAGTTCCAAACACGCTTGCCGTGTGGTACATCCCGGCTTCTATCCGCGATGTGAGGATGCGTGTTTGTTTCTTTACTGCGAACGTTGTGTAACGAGTTGTAGCCTATGCACATATCTGCGATCCTGTCAGCTCAGCTCAGTGGTTAATGGGGAGTACCTGTCCATCAGTAAGTGCCTGCAACTTACACCTTCGTCC